TATATATATACCTGTTATATAGAGGGGTTACAATTATATGAGCAAGGTAATGAGTGCATTTCCTATCAAGCATTGTTACACCCTCCTTTATTTTTCTCCTACCATCCCTTTCCTCCCTACCTTCCCAACTCCTCCCTTCCCTCGCCCACTGCCCCCCACCAAAGTTGTAAAGTTCATTTTCAACATACTGTCTTGTACCAGATTGCTCAGTTTTAAGAAAGAATTTGTCTTCTTCTGAATTTTGTCTCCCGTCTAGATTCTGTTTCATTTGTTTTCTCTCCTCTGTGGTATGTCTGAAAGAAGTTTCTCCTTTGTTGATCTCATTTACACTGATGGCAACTGAGTTGTCAAATGCAATGAATGTGTCATGTGTTTTTTTTTTTTTTGTGGGGGGGGTCCGGTCGTGGGACCTGAACTCTGGGCCTGGGCACTGTCCCTCAGCTCTTCAGATCAAGGCTAGCGCTCTACCACTTAAGCCACAGTGCCACTTCTGGCTTTTTTCTTTTTGCTTATGTGGTGCTGAGGAATCGAACCCAGGGCCTCAGGCATGCAAGGCAAGCGCTCTACCCCTGAGCCACCTTCCCAGCCCTGTCATGTGGTTTTATGCATGATCTCCCATGGATTGGCATGTGACATCACCTCATCCTCAAAGTCAAAATCTTTTCACACAGATTTACCTTCATTTCTCTGCTAGCCTTCTCAGTCTGCATCGTGAGTTCATCCCTTTTCTAAGTTAAATATCTCAGTGGGTTTTTTTTTGAGAATTTCGCTTTTATTTAATTATCTTTTTCTCTCTTCATTTACTCTGGGTAATTTTATTTATCTGATAATGTGATGGTACTTATCAGCTCTAGGTCAATGTCTTCCAGATTTTATTCATAGCCCTTTTTCTGTAATCCAGACCTGCATATTTAGCTGCCTGTTGACATATCAACTTGAAAAGGTTTTATGTTTTAATAGTTACCTCAGTTTATCTCAGTCTGAACATTTAATATTCTCTATGAAATGCATGTTCCAGTTTTTGCCTTTTATCTCAGGAATTAGCCCCTCTGAAATGCAATGGAGCAGGAGAAAATTGTAGGATATACTCTTCTTGTCATTCCTCTTTACTCTCTCTCTCATCTAATTTATCATTACACCTTTGAAAAGTCAAATGTCTCACCCATTTTGAGTGCAGACACTTCTCTCTACTTCTGCTTCTTCTCCCAAAACCTGGCTCCATCATTTCTCAGCTGCACTGTTGGAATACTCTCAGAAATAGTCTTTGAACATCTCTCATCTTCTCAGACTCTGTGTTGAGTATCTGGGGAAATCTATTCAAAATGTTGATTATGTCCCATTTTAGAACAATATATTAATTTCAAAATTATTTACTATGACCTTATATAGGAATACCATATTTCTTCATTTGCTCACAACAGTGCTGGCTTATGCCTATGTATGTATACCTAGTATGTATACTTAGTATGGCTATGTACGGTTGGTATTTCACTTTCAAAAGGGTATTTATTTGAAAGATAAATGAAACAATTACATTAATGCAAGGTATCTCATGATCTAGCCTTTCCAGTTTCATTCTTTCAACATTGCCATCTTCTTTCCAGTTAGACTTGCTTGCTTTTGGGTCATTTGTTTACAATGCGGACTGTCTTAGAAACTGTCTTCTCATTCTTTCTAACTTGATTTCCCTAATGCATCCATACTTTTGCCATCCCATTCCGTGTCATCTTCAAAACTAAACTACTCTCAACTTAAAATCGTATCAGTTGTCCATATACTTATACTTCGATATTTTGTAGTAGTTAGTAGGATCCATAAAAGAGATTACTGTATCCTACCTTCGTGTTCAGCTCAGAGGTCCTAACTGTTAACCGAATGAGTGTAATTTTTGGGAAAGTGACCAGGTTGTTTAAAGAATGAGGTAAATTACAAACTGTCTTTTAATTGTAAATCTACAAACACACTGAGATCTTGCATGCATTACCACCATGAGAGAAAGTATGCTCAAGTGTTTGAAAGTAATCTAGCAGCATCTGAAAGTTTTCTATTCAGTTCCACATTTCACTTAGTTCTCTCTTCTTAGGTATCTTCCTAGATATAATACAAATAAATATTTATATGATATTTATTTGAAGGAAATCTATTTCCTTTTAAAAACTGTTAGTTTAAGTAGTGTACAAAGAGGTTACAATTCCATAAGTCAGGTTACGACTACAATGCGTCTGATTATTGTCAACCCTTTCTGCTGTTCTTCCTCATTTTTCCCCTCCCATTCCTATGTTCAAGTTACATAGTCAATTTTTACCTTCGGTATATTGAATATAATGACTGCCTTTGATCACTTTTTCCCACTCCATTTATGCAGATATATTTGCTAAAAAAATTGTTGGTCATTTATCACGCACACACACACACACACACACACACACATGCACAAAGAGCATCCGTTGTGTTAAATTCTCATTTATGAAAGTATCTTCCTAAGAGAACAAAAGGATCCAGGAGAGTGAACATATGACATTTGTCAAATTCTCACAGATGTGACATTCCAGGTCATTATAATTCTGTGTTTGAACATGTCCTGCAGGTCTTCAAATGGAATGGAAGAAACTTTACCTTTCATGAAAGACTCCCTGTCCGAGGTGTGCTGACCATGTCTTTGTTCAGCCGAAGTGGCTTGGTGTTCTTAGCCGTCACCCCAGCGAATACTCGTCTAAATGCCTCATTATTTAGGTGGTCTGGAAGTGGGTTTGTTAACTTCCAAGAGGTGTCCATCAAAGGGACAACACAAGTTGAGGCTTTGTCTTCTGGTGATGACGTTTACTTGATTTTTATAAAAAATATCCTTGAAGGTGAGAATATAGAGTTATTACCAAAGTCACCTATAATTTAGATTGCATGTTTTATATGAAAGGCTCCTATAATTTTTTGAGCATGTTTAGACAGTATCTTGGGTATTTGCTGTCAGTTAAAAATGGATTCGAACAATTTACACATTATACCTTTCATCTTATGATGTTTCAAACCACCATATTACATTTATGTTAAAATATAACTAGGGGTGGATATGTAAAGTGAGAAAATTTCCAACGATTTTTATATGCAAAGTACAAACAGCTAAATTTCTATATGAGTATACTTGGGATATTGTGGATAATTTATAGTATTAATAAATAGTACTTAGAAATTTTTAATAAGACTGGCTCAGAATAATCTGAGTAGGACTATGCCTTCTTTGCTTATTGCATTCATGGATAAAATCTGGCATTCATAAAACATGAAATATTTTGCCCCAGTTTTTTTGTGGTACTGGGGTTTGAACTTAGGACCTCAAGTTTGCTGTACTTGCTTGCTCACAGCTGACACTCTACTTCTTGAGTCATGCAGCCAAATTGGCCTTTTGCTGATTATTTTGGAGATGGACTCTCCCATATTTTCTGCCCAAGCAATCTTCTGAGCAACTATGATTACAATTGTGAAACTCAGCCTCATTTTTATATACTGTATGATCCTGGTTAATGGAGAATAGTGCATACAGTTAATGTGGAAATTCAAAAGAAATTTAGAAGTACTTCCAACTCTGTTGTATTTTTGTTGAAAGAAAATGGATTCTGGGAGACATTTGTTCCTCAAACTTAATCATTTGTATTACTGCCCAAATTTGTAATTTTCTTTTTCCAACTTATGATTTAACATTTGATTTTTATTTCATTAATCTAGGATATCAGAACTTAGTTGATATTTTCATCTGGGAGATGGGACAATCTTCGTTCAGACATTTTCAGTTCTTGGATTTTTCTCCTGTTGAAAGAATCCATTCCTTTATACCAGCCTCAGGAATAGGTAAGGATTTTTCAGCTAACCAATCCTAAAGACAGTATGGAAAGCAAAAAGGATATAATCTCACTAAATTTCATATGGTGCTGTGTTTTAATACCCTTCCAGAAATCATAAAGCTTCAAAAGAATTTGTATTTATTAAATGGATGTTTTGTTTAAGAATAATAAGAGTAACAAAAAAAAACAACAACAAACCAGAAGGAACTATTAGTGAAGGCCAAAGATAGTATTTTTGTATGTATGTCAGAACAAAGGCTTGAACTTAGGTTCTAGGCTCTTTCCTTACTTAGTTTTCATGTTTAAAACTTCTGCTTGAGTCACCTCTATCCTCAAAACTCAGCCTCCTGAATAGTTAGAATCATAGGTGTGAGCCACCAGTGCCCAACTAGTATTTCATCTCTTTTACCAAGAGAAGAGTAAAGAGTGACACTATATATATTTAAAATATGAAAATATGCATAAAGTGATGGCAAAACTTTACACTTAATGAATTTTGAGAGCTCAGATGACTGTGAGAACTCTGCTGGCCATTTTTATTCTCCCAATCACTTTCACAGTATGAATAATCAATATTTTAATACAGTTTCTGAGGCAAAGTATATTAGTAAGAGCCTATGGTATATCTGCAGCCTAGAGGCTGCAGGATTATTTCAGGGTTAGTCAGGAGTCACTTGGGCAGAGAGAATGACACTAAGGCAGAAAGCTGAGGTCAGTTGGATGGGGAACTGGTCAGGCTACCTCTCATGTGGGAGTCTGCAGTGAAAGGGCAGGGGATACATAGTCAGCTGTCATTATGTTTTCAGGTGCCCATAGGACTAGAAAGTCAAGCCTAAGGGCAACTCAGGAGATGAATCCAGTCATGTTTTTTATATCGACACATGACAGTTCTATTTTAATGAAAAACAGCATGCAGTTAATACTAACATATTGCACACAGATTATTGTTATGAAGATAGGAGGAATTCCTTGCCTTTGAAGTCTTAGTATCTGATTAGAGGAGGGGGAAAGAAATACTAACTTAAGACTTAAGACCGATACTGTTTACTTTGTGAGAGGTGGATTTGGAGTGGGTAGAAGGTGTAAGAAGGAAACCTGAGGTATGTTTAGGTGGATTGACAGGAAACTTTTTGGCCAGGGGGCAGCAGAGGAGGAAGGCTTTGGGGGCATTACAGCATCGAGGATACTCCTAGCAGAGAGGAGTACTGGACACAGGGTCTGATTGGAACATCATGATTCTGGGCTTAGAGACACAGTCTATGGGGTTAATTTTTTGTTTTTGTTTTTGCTTTTTGTTTATGGTTAGTCCTGGGGCTTGAGCTCTGGGCCTGGGCTCTGTCCCTGAGCTCTTCAGCTCAAGGCTAGTGTTATACTGCTTGAGCCACACAGTGCCACTTCTGGTTTTCTAGTTGTTTATTGGAGATAAGAGTTTCATGGACTTCCCTGCTCAGGCTGGTTTTGAACCATGATCCTCATATCTCAGCCTCCTGAGTAGCTAGGATTACAGGCATGAGCCACCAGCGATTTTGATGTAAGGAGATGTTGCATTGATGTATTATTTATCTTGATTGTGAAGGATTGTTAAGGGGTGCTTCCATTCAATTCTGCATCTGAGACAATATTTCAGTCAACTGTCTATCCCCATCCTGACTTTATGCAATCAGATGACACCTTCACAATGATTTGCAGGAATTCACAAAGCTATTGTATGTTCAGAGCTTGATCAGAACTCTGCAGTGTGTTGAGTATTAGCTGTCATCATCACCATTAAACTAGGTGCACAGAGGGCACAGCAGTTAAGTCAAATGATTAATGAATGCCACGGCATGAATGCTTGGATGTCTAATTCTGCTACTCTTACAGGTGTTTTCACATCAAGCAGGGATTCCGCACCATTCTCTGAGAAATTAGATACACTTGATTACTTTTGTCACAGAATGATTCATTTGAAGTGTATTCTCAAAGATCTTAATGAAAGACTTAAACATCTTCACTTCCTCTATTTCAGCATTCTTTCAGAACTCTGTTGATCTTTTACCACATTTTGGGGGGATATTCCTTTTACCTGCATAGTTTGATTTAGGATTTTTTTAATGTTTAGAACTTACATTAATATGAAAATGTTACACATTCATTAAAAACAGTTTGGTATTTTACCTTTTCCTGGACTAGTGATTTGTGGTATTTTTCAGTTTTAGATGATACCAATGGGAACACAACTCCAGCTACTACCGGATAGGAGGGTGAATTCTGAGAGCTGGTTCTGTGCAGAGTACATTTAAGATAGGCAATACTGAAGTATGAGATAGGATTTTCTGATTGGATAGTTTTTCCCAATTAGCCCAATTAGCTTAAATTGAAGGCTGAGTACACTTAAGTAAATCTAGAATAAGATGTGATATTCAGTAACTGAAGAATACTAAATGTATTTGTTCTTATGTTTTCTACTTATGATAGATTTAGTGGGATATAATGCCACTATAAGTGGAGAAGCACCTCTCTGTAGATTTGAGGACACCACATTATTACTGTAAATGTTCACTTATCAGTTTGCTTCCAAAGTATGTCAATCAAAATAAGATGTGAACAGAGTATATCTCTGAAGGGCCAGGTGCATAATCAGTAGTGTTCAGATCACTAGTTTATGATCTTGGTTGAGACTATAGCTCAGTTAAGCATTTGAGTTTGTTACTTTTGAATGTTTTATGAAGCTATTTGTAAAGTATATATCCCTTTAAAGATTTGAATGTATTAAGACCATTCTAGATGATCTTGATCTTTATGCAACATTTGGACAAAATGCAGTTAATCTTAATTGTTGTAAATAAGGATGACACAGGCCAAGGGCTAGCATTTTAGAAGATATTCATGCTTTCTGATTTGGTGTACTGTTTTAGTACCTAATCGGTCTGATTTGATATGTTTGCATTCAAGTGTGTTTCTCTAAAAGCATGTTTCTTTATGTTTTCTCACCCCTCTCCCAATTCTAAGTGTGTTTGTTTAGTACTGTACGCAACATATTCCCAGCTTCTGAAGCACATATATATGTCATTGCTTTGAACTAGCAAAAACATGATTTCCTGATATTTAAAAAGTACTGCACGAATATATTCTAAGTTTTCTTTGTACATATCCTTTGATCTCATGAGCTACCTTGAATAATTTTTCTAGAGAAAACAATAGGGAGAACTCTACCTCTACTTAATATTGAAAAATTAAATATTAAACAATAAATATCTAATGCAAGAAAATTATTAAATATGTATTAAATATTAATATTAATTTAATGTATATGCAATACTAGATTATTATATGCATTAAAATTATAAAATTGAATACTTCAGTAATAACATGCAAAACTATGTAATAGAATACATATAATAGTTAAGAACTTTTGTATTTATCTTTTTATACTTGTGCATTATAAACTTATAAATATAATGACTAGAGATGAACATTTAAAAAATGAAATATTGACTGATGAGATAATTGGTATTTTTCACTTTGTAAAAATTACTTTTAAATTAGTACTGAGATGTATACCAAGGAATTCAAAATCCATTTGTGTTTTTTAATCCTGTGATTTTCTTCTTTCTTAGATAGGTGTGGGTACATTATCAAGCTGGACTGGTTATTCTACAGCACTCCAAAATTATTATTTTATTCAATTATTACATAAATTGAATTAATTTACTTTAGAAATCAAAACAAAGCTTGGAGAATGGTAGAAGTCTTCCTTTGACACCAGTGGAGGGAGTGTGTGTAGTAGCATTTTGCACTCCATTTTTCTTGTCTTTTTTTTCCTTCCTTACAGCCCACATACTTTTAATGGGCCAAGAAGGGTCTGCCCTTTACCGCTGGAATTCAGAGTTGAATCAATTCACTTTTGTTCTGGAAGTACCCTCTGCCCGTGATGCAGCTTCAGTTGTAGTAAAGTCTATTAATTCAAGCAAGAATTTAATTGCTATGGCAGGAACTGTGCACTCTCATGTATATGAACTGGCCTATATTTCCAGTCAGTCTGACTTTATTCCCAGGTAGGTTCAACAACTTCATACTAAGTGTCTTTATGCTCATCTCAGTTTGTCTGACATAAAATTTCTAAGTCATAGTGACCAAAGAAAAATACAAAAATACTAGAGCTATACGTAAGCCAGAAACCTGGTCATTCGTATTTCTACAATCTATTCTATTATGTTTATCAGAACTACACAAAAATTTAAAATTTTTATTTATGAAATATTATACTTCCTGTAAGACTTTTAATATTACTGCTTAGTGCAGTGAGAATTTCATGGGGAATCTACTCTGCATATAATTTTGTTTGTTGTCATTGACTTATTTTATCTGTACTTCCTATGGTAGTTCAGGTGAACTGATATTTGAACCTGGTGACAAAGAAGCTACCATAACAGTAAATATCCTCGATGATGTAATTCCAGAAGAAGAAGAATCCTTCAGAGTTCAGCTTAAAAATCCCAAGGGAGGAGCAGAGATTGGCATTCATAGTTATGTGACAATAACTATCCTGTCTAATGATGATGCTTATGGAGTTGTTGCATTTGCTCAGGTAATAGTGAAGATTCCACATATACAAGTGAAAATAACTTACTGCATTTACAAGTAAGCTCTGATCAGAACTCAGTATGTGAGCCGTACTTTGAGTATCTTCAATCTTTCTCCCTTTGCTTCTTCTTGGTATACCTCCTATTGTACATCCTATGGTGAACTCTACTGAAATCTGCAATATGCATTCTTACTATACTGACTCTAAGAGACAACTTATTCTGGTCTTTTCCCTATTGTTTTAAAGTATTGGGTATTAAATGTGTTCAGCTGGCCTTGCTCTTGCTTTTTTCCCAAAGGCCATGGTGAAAAAGATTGTGACTATATTGCACACTGTGTTGTGTCACATATATCACACAACTATGTTAGTGTGGGTGGAGGTGGCACAGAGTCTGGTAACTATAATACGTTTTGCAATTACAGATGTAAAATGCACATTGCCTTTGTCCTGAGAAAAGAAAGCTATGCACATCTTCTCAACTCCCCACACCCATACTTCATTTTTTCCCCTTTTTATTGATGAGCAGGACAGCCATTTATATTGTATTTGTTCTTATTTGCAAAGTTGTTCTGACTAAAGTTACATCTGCAGCTCTATTTTATCTTTCTCTGAAATTTTTTACACATAGGACAATCTGAATTCAAATTGGCTTAAACTCTAACGACATACCCCAACAAGGGGTGATCAGGTACTTCACTGTCAACATGGCTCAGATGCTTTTATTTTTCCATTTGTCAGAATACAGTTGACCTTACATCTAACTGTTTGAAAGCTCACACTATTCTTAGAGCTACTACTTTCTTATTTGTGCCCAGTTAAGGACAGAGAAATGCTTTATGTAGTCTTTAAGGAAGAAAATTTCAAAGCACCTAGAAAAACTCTGTGTTCCATTGGCCAGAACAGAATAAATGAATAATCTAGTGATTGGATAAGGATTCCAGTCACTTGGTCACTCCTTTATTCACTAGCTCATTCATTTATCATTCATTCCTTCAACCAACATTTGACAAATGCCTGCTGTGTTCCAGATACTGTTTTCCATAGATGTCAGAGAATAAAATAGTGAAACTCTCTAATCTCTTTTCCTTTAAATTCTAGAAGGGAATAGGGGAGACAGAACATGAGCAAAGACATAAGAAAATAAATACTGTATCTGCTGTTGAGAGGTGCTACAGAGAAGTATATGAGACAAGCAAAGCAGTTGGAGAGCACAGGGGAAGGTGACAAAGTAAAAAAAAAAAAAAAGAAGAAGAAGATAGAATGATCAGGGAGGCCCCAGGGACCTGTCATGTGAGAGAGGGAAGAGAACACTTCCATGGCCTTCTAAGAACTTCAGATAGTTCAGCAGGCAGAGCTAAGATTAGACCCCCTGTGCTCTGCAGATAAGCTCCACATCCTCATCTGGAGCCTTACAGCAGGTACAGAATGTATCTTACCATTCATCACAAGAGGTTTGCCTTTAGATAACTTGGTCCAAAAGCTCTTGTCATTTCATCTTTGCCCATAGCTAATTCCCTGGGTTCCTTATGTCTATTTGATAGAATTACTTGCTACAGGGCTTTTGTGTCTGGATAATTTCCTTTAAGATGAAATTTGTAGATGATGAGAATTTCTTTTCTTATTATTGTTGGTACTGGGACTTAAACTCAGAGGCCTATACTTACTGGACAGGTTCAAACAGTTGGAACACACTTCTAACCTGCTGTTAAGAATTTCTTAAATATTTTCTGGCATTGCACTAGTTTTTACAAACCCTCCTTCATTGACAGCGTGTAAACAGAGAAGATTATGAATATAGAGTTTACATACTTCAAAATAAAAAAAATTCTCTTCAGGGTCTTTGATTGCCTTTAGCAAGATCTTATTACTATGTAACATCTGTGACAGTATATTAAAGTATGTATAAAATATCACTATATGATAGAATCTCTACTAAAATTAGCATTCTGTACAGGAGCTTCCATAAATTTAAAGCATTAATTGGGGAGTCATGCTTCAGATTATTATAGTAAAAAGACATGAAAAAATCTTACTGGAAATGTAAAATGAAATCTTATGTTCCATATGTTTGCCTTAATGTCTATCAAGAAACCCTTCCCATTCTGGAGTTTTAACTCAGGGCCTGGGCCTTGTCCCCAAGATACTTTGCTCAAGGCTAATGCTTTACCCCTTGTACCATAGTACCCTGTCTAGCTTTGTGGTAGTTAATTGAAAATAAGAGTCGAGTCTCATAGACTTTCCTGCCTGGACTGGCTTTGCACCATGATCCTCAGTTATAAGCTTTTTGAGTAAGTAGGATGACAGCTATGAGCTACTGGTGCTCAGCTCCGAGAGGATTTTGAGAAGGGACTGTCTAAAATATTCATTTGAAGGAAAAGTTTATTAAATGGATGGCAAGAGAGGGGGACACATGGATAAGAATTTCAGGAAAGGAAACCTTTGCAAATGATCAGAAAGATACTGGTGTCATTGCAGTTGGATGGGATGTTGGAGGCCATGTAGGTCTGACTTCACTAATAGAAGACAACAGCCTAGAGGAACCGAAAAGCCTTTCTGCAGGGGATAAAAGCTTCCTGTTTTCTCAGAATGCATCTATTTTATGCCATGAGTTCTGCTTAAAACAATGTATGTTTTCTGAATATAAAAGTAAATATGTGTGAATTGAACAAAATGAAAAAAAAAGAAGGCCAGACCAAAAAGAATCCTATAAAAATTAGTATTTTGTTGACTTTAGTGCTATTTACTTACTTATTTTGAGACGGTGTCTCAGTCTATAGCCTCGGCTGGCCTGAATGTGTGACACTCCACGTGAGTGCTGGGGTTCTATAGGAGTGCACCAACACACTGGCTCAATATCACGGTTATTTTTTTGAATATTTTAATTATCTCTAAGTAGTTTAGAAAGGAGTTGTCCTTTTAAAAAGCAGTTCATAAATACAGTGTATCTTGTTCAATGTCACCTGTTTGAACATTTGCACTCATCCCACTCAATCCACTTTTCTTAATTTTTTTAAGGATATATATTGAATTTTTTGACATTTAACAAAGCACTTTATGTATACAATGTGTCTTGGTCTTCATTAGCAGTGTGAAGCTTGCCAATGAACAATAACATGAAATAAAGAATTTATTTATAGGTAATTTCAAGTAATCCATTATGTCTTCTGGTGTATTTTTCAGAACTCATTATATAAGCAAGTGGAAGAATTGGAACAAGATAGCTTAGTAACCTTGAATATTGAACGCTTAAAAGGAACTTATGGTCGTATAACTGTAGCATGGGAAGCTGATGGAAATATTAATGATATATTTCCCACCTCAGGAGTGGTATGTAATTTTAAAAAATTATAGGAGACACTGTTAATACTGTTTACTATTGGTTCTTGGGACCAGATACTGATTTATGGATGAAATGTTTGAGTGTAACCTTATTAAAACTGGCTTCCTACTAATTACCATAGAGACATAGAAAGGATACAAATTCAGGTTAGCTTCATTATTGTGGTTCTTTATTTTTTCTCTAAGATAAAACTTACATATGAAAAAGAGTGATCCACTTTGAAGTTGAATAAAGCCATTGGACAGATTTTGAGTACATTTGTCTAATGTTAAAACCAATCAAATGAGGATTGTGTATTGTGGGGTAAAGAATCACATAATCTACGTTGGATGGGTAGAATAAAAATGTAAGAATGTAATAAGGATGGACAATTAAGTACACTTCTCACAAAGAGAGTTCACGGAGCCATTTGTTTTTGTTTGGAAGATGAGTTATCTTATTAGCTTGCCTTGGTTTGGTAGGTTAGTCTATTTTGCACCAATGCTTCTCTAAAGAATTATTTTAAAGAAACTCTCAAAAATAAGGACATTGGATTTAAAATCTATTTTAAATATGATTATAAGGTTCTTATATCATTTGGAAGGTAAAAGTATCAATTGTATTGAGTATGCTATAGCAAATTCTGTTGCATTTAATCTGTATTTTATGCATGCTACAGAGCTCTGTTGTAATTCTGTATATTCTCAAATTACTGTTTATTATTTAAATTATTAAATCTCTACTTCCTTAAGTGTATATTCTCATTGCATTCTCAAATTACTGTTTATTATTTAAATTATTAAATCTCTACTTCCTTAAATGTAGACTATATTTTGAAAGAATTTTTGTGGAGTCAATAATTTTTTCTGTGAAATGACAGAGTAAATACTTCTTTTTCATTCAGAACAATGTTGACTTTGGAATACAATTGTGCTGAAAAATAGGAAACACATTATAGGAAGCAACAGATAATGTACAATTAAATTAGCTTGGCTGTGTTCCAATAAAAATTCATTTGTCACAAATGGATTTGAAGTTTAGGGCACTGCTCAAGTAGGAGAGCACCAAGTCCATTAGTTCAAATCTCAGTCCTTCCCCCTTAAAAAATGATGGGCTGGGAAGGTGGCTCAGTGGTAGAGCGCTTGCCTTGCATGCATGAGGCCCTGGGTTCGATTCCCCAGCACCTCATAAGCAAAAAGAAAAAAGCCGGAAGTGGCGCTGTGGCTCAAGTGGTAGAGTGCTAGCCTTGAGCTGAAGAGCTGAGGGACAGCACCCAGGCCCAGAGTTCAGGCCCCACAACCAGACCCCCCCCACCAAATTAGGGAAACAAACAAAGCCACCCATTTATATTGCATGCCTTTAATCCCAGGTAATCTGAGGCCAGCCCCAAATAACAACATGAGACCCAATCTGAAAAACAAAAACAAAAGAGCTAGAGATATGACTCAAGTAGTAGAGTACATGCCTAGCAAGCTGAGACCCTGAATTCAAATCCCAGTGCCACAAAAAAAAAAGAAAATAAAAAATGAATTTAACCAGTGGGCAACAATTTTCTGATTCCTGATGTTATCAACAAAGCTCTCTGGTCTCTCCAGTGGCATTCTCTGGGTGGAGAGATGGAATGGGCACAGAGTGAAGCCCAAACCTTCAATGCTAGTTCAAGAAAGTAATTTGTAGTCACACTGCTGCAGAATGGGTATGTTAGGAGGTCATGGGGATGGTGTCTAAGAAACAGATGGAAACCCCGTGAGCAAGGACCTCAGATACTTTTAATAATACCTGTAACGAATGGACACAGGAAAGAAAGGAGAGAGAGGCTGTGATATGAATCTCTCCCTGGCTTTCTCTCTTTACCTCTATTTTGGTCGAGCTGCTCATAAATGATAAATTTATTAGTAGATCAATTCTTGCCAGAATTTTGTTTGTAAGGAACCATCTTTTAATTTTGTAAAGCTTTACAAATTACATCGAATGCTTTATTTGTTAGAAAGACTTTCTACCCTATATTGTAAGGAACAGTGAGTTCTAGATTATGGTATTTTAGCTTCATGTTTAATTCGCTAAAGTTTCAGAAATGGTTTAGGTTTTTCTTTTTCCTAGTAGTCTTCTTACTTTTACTATGATAGGCAGTTAAGTTATTTGTATAATTACATTCCATTGCTTAACTATATTGTTATTTTCATTGTGGCCATATTAAAACAAAATCAGTGGAGGAGGAGAGAAGGATGTAGAAGATGACATGGATCAAGATGCATTGAACACACAAATTGACATGTTGAAACCCCTTTGTTCACCTACTTTAAGATAATTTTTAAATGACATTAGGTCATCTGTATTCTTACTGAACAAGAAGAACTAAAAGAAAATTTCTTTAATTTTTTTTTTTTTTTAGATTTCATTTACTGAAGGACAGATGCTGTCCACGGTCACTCTGACAGTTCTTGCTGACGATTTGCCAGAGTTATCAGAAGTTGTGACAGTAACGCTCACAGGTGTGACCACAGAAGGGGTTGAGGACCAGACAAAAGGTGCTATGATTGATCAGAAAAGAAAGAAGTCTGTGATAACGACCCTTCCCAACGACTCCCCCCACGGTGTGGTGGGCTGGCATGCTAACTCACTGTTCACCAGAGTGACAGAGCCTATAGGTAAATTCTGTTGAGTATCTATTTTAGGCATTAGTTAGAAGTTTCCGTAGTTAATTTGCTTGTACTATTGGTAGACTACAGATTTCTCTTTGCAATTTGAATTTTTCGGTTTGACAGATCATAGTCCTTTGAATTGATCATTATGAAATCTTGGATCATGGGATCACTTAGCAATCAGGCTTTAATTTCTAAAGACAAACTATCATAATAAACATGATAATAATTTAAGAGATTATAGTAGAGATGTTTGCTTTTTTCTTTCTCTTTTGAATCATTCCTTTAAATTTCCCTTTCTGTAGATTTTCATATAGTTGTAGAGAATAGTATAGGGAATAGTAGGAGCATCATTTAACCTAAAGCATCAGAGTAATTTTATCCTGTATGGTAAATAGTGATCAGTCTTTACTGCCCTTGATTGCTGAACTCTTTTACCTAAACAATTGTTCATTTGGATTGTTGAATAAGTATAGTTTCCATAGACAAAGGTCAATTGACTTATTTAAATTAAAGGTTGAATTTAAAATATTCCATTTGAAGTTTTAAAAATCTTTAGGTAATGCATAGACAATCCTCTATCTAATGTATTTTATTGCAAATGCTGAGGGAAGAAAGTGGCATGTGGTTACAACTCTGGACCTTCATAAATATCCATCTATGTGGAAAAATAAAAAAATAGATTTACAACAGAATGATCTGTGTGTCTTCTCATTCAGTTAACCTTTTTTCAAGCTTGTATAATTGTCAGGAACTTTATTGTGAGTTTCTGAAGCTAAGATACAATATTTAATCCATAGAAACTCATAGACCAATGGAAGATGTTGACTGGCATTTTATATTTTATTCTTTATAATGACAGTTTAATACATTGCACAATTTTAATTCTTTTTTTTTTTTTTTTTTTGATTGTGGAGCTTGAACTCTGAGCCTGGGCGCTGTCCCTCAGCTCTTCAGCTCAAGGCTAGCGCTCTACCACTGGAGCCACAATACCACTTTGGTTTTCTGAGTGGTTTATTGGAGATAAGAGTTTCATGTCTTTCCTGCCTGGGCTGGCTTTGAACTGAGATCCTCAGATCTCAGCCTCCGAAGTAGCTAGGATTACAGGCATGAGCCACTGGTGCCCGGCATAGGAAGATTTTTTGGGGGGGGTTTGGTCGTGGGGCCTGAACTCTGGGCCTGGGAGCTGTCCCTCAGCTCTTCCTCACAAAGCTAGTGCTCTACCACTTGAGCCACAGCACCACTTCTGGCTTTTTCTGCTTATGTGGTGCTGAGGGCCTCATGCATACAAGGCAAACATTCTACCACTAAGCCACATTCCCAGCCCAATTTTAATTCTTTATAAGGAATTAAATATTTTTAAATTCTAAAACGTTAAGTAAACAATATGTGTAGCAAAACACTTTTCAGATTATAATAGGCATCTCATTTGAGGGACAAAACCCCTCTTCTAATAATTAGTCATTAAATGATTATTATATGTATTTAGCAATTCATTTTCAACGAATCTTCTGAGCATGTATAACGTGCACTTGCTGAGATTGTCTGTAATTCTGCTGAAGTGTGTGGTGTGCATAGCCCAGGACCTGCATAGCAGAATCAGCAGGGACAGAAGAATGAGGTCAATGCTATAATGTGGTTTTCAGCACAGAGTACGGGATAAAGGAGGCAAAGCATAAAAGATCCATGGGAAAATACATTAGCTTTGTTTTACCTCTCTGCCTTAACTGTCTAAAAGGATAGTGCAGTTATTTCACCATGAGTGAGTGCTTGCAGCAGCCCTGACAGACAATAGAAAAGCATACTTATTGAAGCATACTTATCTCATAGAGAACATCACTGTGCTTCAGTTACGAGTTGCTCGAGATAGAGGTCTCCAAGGGGATATTGCTATTCACCTGATGGCTACACCCAATTTCTTACTGCATACCAATCATCAAGCTACTGAGAATGAGGATTATGTGTTGCAAGAAACCATAATAATAATGAAAGAAAATATGAAAGAAACTCATGCCAAAGTTGCCATTTTGCCAGTAAGTACAGATTACAGGAAGTATGGTATCAAGGGAAATTGCTATTAAATATAAAAATGTGATGCTCTTGTCTTGTAGGTAGAAGTCTTTTGTAAAACAGGAGTCTCTTTTTTTAAACACAATTCTTTAAAATATAAAGTTATGTATTTCATATCCAATTTAGTATTTAATAATGAATAAGTTAATGTAACTGGCTAGTAAAAGGGCAAGTGCATTGTTTATGTTTACTGAAGTCTTGGAACAACTTGAATTAACTTCAAGTTGTTTAATTTGGATTGATTGCATGTCTGATTGACAATACTGTATATTGTTCAGTTGATTTAAACTAGGAAATGAATGAATGAAATGATTCACTCAGTGTACTTTTTATTGCCAGTTAATAATATAGTTATATGAATCAGGCTTAATATTCAGATGGTTTATGTCTGAATATGATGGGTTTTGCAATCTATATTTACTCGATATGTGTATACATATACATGTATATGTGTGTATATACACACATACATATAAACCTATAACTACACATGTACACCGAGAAAAAAATAGAAAACAGAGGGAGATATGTTCATTTATCATTTTATCTTGAAATGTTTATTACTTATTCAAAGATAAAGTGAAAAATTTTAATTAACAGAAGCATAAGATTATATCTAGATAACAAGCCCAGAGCTTTCACTTTAAAAAAAATATATATATAAACTGATCAGTTTTTTCTAAATTTCCTTTGGGATATTATATATATATAACACATCCAGTAAGATGTGGCCAATATTGTAGGATGAATTTTTAACTTATTTTATTTGTTAATGCCAATGAAGTTTATTGAAACATTATTCGTAATCTTAAATATCTGAGAGATCCTGAAACTGACAGTGGGAAAGTATGAACATATGATGAGGAATCTTTATGTATGATAGCAATGTCCATTCCAGTAGATGGTGACTTTTATTTACAGATGGAAAAATATCAGGCTTCTATCAGAAATTAAATATCTTTCAAACACCTGCCTGACATGTTGGTATACACCTGTAGTCCCATCAAGTTGAAGTGGCAGGGTCCCCAAAGCCCACTTTGATGCTAGCATGAACAATGTAGGCAGATTCTGCTATGTGAAAACAACATAGGAATCATCATCTTTATCCTGCTTCCCAGGATGATACTCCCGAGTTGGAGGAAGGCTTTATTGTCATTATAACTGATGTGAGCCTGGTGAACTCCGACCTCTCTGCAGAGCAGCCTCGTGTGCAGAAGCCTCGCATGGAAATAGCTGAGATACTGATTGAAGAAAATGATGATCCCAGAGGAATTTTAAAGTTTCATGTTAACAGAGTAAGATGAACATACACATATTTATAGCAACATGGGAGTTTCAACCTAGTGATTTATCCAGAAGTTTATATATTTTTTTCAAAAATAATTCGCTTTGTTTATATTTATAAATATACGAGTAAGGAAAGCTGTGTTATTAGTCCTTAGTTCTTTTTGAGCTAGACCAAAGGATTAAGCAAGTTTATCTTTATTCAATTTTATGGTGAATGCTAAAAGAATGATCATTCATTTCTAGGTGACTATTGCTTTCTGATTAGAAAATATAGCACAAAAGATACAAGTGGGAACAATAAAGTTAGGATGTGAAGGTGTAGGGGGTTACACTTTTGTCTCACCTGTCAATTGTCATTCTTTATTGAAGGATATTGATGGTGTTATCACTGCCTATGAAGAGCCTCCTCCCTTCAATGTTCTTCGGGTTCCTGTGATCCGGCTGGCAGGAAGCTATGGGTCACTAAATGTTTACTGGGAAGCAACACCAGACAGTGCCAGTTTGGAAGATTTTAAGCCATCTCATGGCACTCTTGAATTTGCAGAAGGCCAAGTAAGTTTATAGTGAACATAATAGTGTTTTTGGTTGTCCTTCAAACTTGTATATGCCTCTATCATATGAGTGTACATAAATGATTACTAAATTCATTATACTTCATTTCTCTTTCAGGTCAAACGTGTTATTTAGTGAATGTAAGATCTATTAATGGTTATAGGAAAAGAACGCTTAAAGGCAATAATTTCACCGTTTTTTTCTGATTTTCCTTACCTGATTCCTTTTAAAATAGAAGATACAAAGCAGGATATGCACACATACACAGGCACATACATGTAACTATATAAATACATGCATACATACATACATACATACATACACATATACATGCATAAAACCTGCCTGGTAAACTAGACTATTTCTATGGTTTTTAATTACTTTTATTGTGCTTATTTTTTAGTATTTATAAATATGGATATTTAAAATTTCAAATTTAGTTTGTTTCATATTTGTTAATTAATTCCTAAAAATGTTCTTTGTAATTTAAGAATCCATCCAAATAATAGAAAAGGAACTTTAAAACTATGTTCAAATATTAGAATATAATCTAAAGTTAGGAATAATAACCTAAAAAATTGCCAGACTTTCTTCCAAGAATTTTGTGAACTGGGCATCTTTAAGTTCATTGTTGTTTTGTACCTGTCTTGGCTCTTGAACTTGGGACTGAGAGCTGTCCCTGAAAGTTATTCATTCAAATCTGGCATGTGACCACTCGAGCCACAGTTCCATTTCTGGCTGTTTTTTCTTTTCTTTTTTTTGGAAGTGGTTAATTGGAAATAAGAGTCTAACAAACTTTTCTGCCCAGAATGGTTTCAAACTTCGATCCTTAGATCTCAGCCTCCTGAGTAGCTAGGATTACAGGTGTGAGCCACTGGCACCCAGCTATAAGCTGTTTTATTAAAATCTAATTATTAAGTGGAAATACAGTGACCACTGGGAATAAATTAGAGGGGAAAAAAGACAAAAGAAATAATTGGGAACAGTACACTAAAAAATAACAAAAAACCAACATAGATACTGACAAGTGAACTTAATCCTGGTATAAGCATCTAAGAACAGAAAAATTGGTATTTCTTCCTGCCTTTTTTCAAGGACAATATCTGAGCCCAATGTGATTTATTTCAATTAAAGAAATGATAACTTTATGCTTTCTTTTAACTAATGTAGTCAAACACATTAAGCTGCTTGTTTTACAATGACTGCTAGTGTAGCAGGGCAAAAAAAGAGAATTTTGTGTGTGTCTGTAATTACGCTATATTTATTACTTACATAATTTATTTCATCTTGACAATAACGTATTTTATAAATTTCTGACTTCTAAATACTACATATATATTACTTTAAAATTGTTGGGAATATAATAAGCACAACCTCTGTTATTTTCTTTTGAAATATGTTTTTGATGTTTAAACAATTAAGTGTAGGTAAGAGGGAATTTTGTTATTTCATTGTTTGCTTTTTCTTTCCCTCTCTCCTTCACTCCTTCTTTTTCTTCTTTTCCCCTATAGGTTACTGCCATGATAGAAATCACCATAGTTGATGATGCTGAATTTGAACTCAGGGAGCTCTTCAGTATCTCCTTAACCAGTGTGGCTGGAGGCGGCAGACTTGGTGAAGATATTGTGGTTATGGTTGCTATTCCCCAGAATGACTCTCCATTTGGAATATTTGGATTTGAAGAAAAGACTGTGAGTTAAATCTGTCAGTGGAGTACTAGCTCACGAAATTTTTTTGGTATATTTTTATGTAGAAAAATGTCATTTAATTTTGTTTAGAAACTTCATCACCATTCATGTCTAAGTCCCTTTTAAAGAGTCTTTGGAATTGGCTACTGAGGTAGGGGCAAATCCCTAAGCTATTCAGAGTTGACAGTAATGAGAAGCATAACTATCAGGCAGTTTCCATGGGAACCAGATTCCTTTTAATGGGGTGTAATAGACCCTGAACACTTTTTTTTCCCATGTCTCATTGATGACCAGCATCCTGGTCTCAAGGTGGGATTTGATCATAAGCCTCAGTCTTGCATCAGTATGGTTTGTTGGTGAATTTGAATAATTTATATTACCCATTGTTCTCTCTGGTATTTATTGTAACTTTTATCAAACAAAACATGATGGGCACCCAGCTTGTGGATTTTTTCCATAAATCTTTCCTTTTGTTTCTTATCAGCTATTTTCTTTCAAGATCTGAAAGTGGAATCCCAAATATTTTAGCTTAATCCACTAGGGGGAAAATAAAGCTTAATCAATCATGAGAATGGAATATTTGTGCAGCCTGGCTTGGCTGATCAGTACTGAACTGTCACTACACCTTCCACTTAAAGCAATTGAAACCCCATTATAATTACTTGTGTTATAACCAATGCAACTTTACCCTTTGAAGGAATTTCTAAGATGAAAAAGTCGTGAAAAATTTTAGATAATTTCCACATACTTGGCAACTCGTCTGTCTCCATATTCCACAATTATGTAGTGGAATGTATAATTCCCATTCTGTAGTTACTTTATCTGGATCCTTTTTGAAATACAAGACACTTCCTCTAATGCCTCTTCTCTACACTGTGCTATGGCTTCGAGTCTCAATTTACAATTTGTCTGTCATTGCTGAGCCTCTCAGATGCTCTAAAACTAAATGCAGCCTAATAATTGCTGAATGATTTAGTCTCTGAGATTTCAATTTCATGAGAAAATGTTAGCTTATAAGAGGGAATAAGTATATTCATACTTAGCCCAGTCAGACGATTTTCCTTCCTTGGAAAAGAACTAAACAAAAAGGTTTGTAAGGAGTAGTGAACTGTCCCAAAAGAAGCTATTGCCTACCTTTGGGGTTTGGGAGTGGAGGAAGAATATAAAGAGGGAGTAAATGTTTCTAATAATTTTAATATCCTCAGACAGACAATATTCATATTTTTCATCACACTATTTCTTGGATATATACAATATTTCTTTGCACATTTTATCACACAGCAGATTATAATTTAACTTTTAAAACATACCTTTGTTACTTTCTGAGCTTAGATGAAAAAAAATTAGTGGTTTAGCATTCAATTTAATCTTCCATTAGTGAAAGCTTGTAATAATGTTTTCACCTTCTACTTCATCACAGTTATAAATTTAGATAAAGTGTTTGGGAAGTGTTTGTTAGTTTTATCTTCCTATGATAGAAAATGAACAGATATTCATAAATAATGATTTAACTGCTGTCATAAACTTTAATGCTCTAAACCTATTGTAAGGATGCTTGGGGACACTATCTTTTTAGATTGGCCTCAAATTTCTGATTTGTCTTAGGAGCTAAAAGGAAGATTTAGGTTAACCGCCCCTACTGAGTTGATTTTTAGAAAAATAATTACACTTTGGCTTTAAACTCTGCACATGTCAGTTGCTGCTTTAATTGTTGGTAATTTAGTTACTCAGCCCTTTGCTGTTGTTTTCCTTATATGCTGTCTTTCTTCTACCGAAGTTTCTTGATAATCTGCAACTCAGGCAATCAATTTCTTCTTTCTTGTGGGCCTAGCTTCCTAGGTCCTGAGCACTTTGTTGTCACTGGACTAGTGGGAAAAGAGGACAGCGGGGAAGGCTTCAAGTAGGGTGGCAGCACACATCACCTCAGTGTATAATCTATTGACAGGTTTTAGTCGCATACTTGTGGGAGAGGAGAGGAAATGCTAAGTAGTTGAGTTTTCAGGAAAGAAAGGATATTAGGTTTGATGAAACATATTTTTTTGGTTGTGGGGTGTGAACTCTGGGCCTGGGCGCGGTCCCTCAGCTCTTCAGCTCAAGGCTAGCGCTCTACCACTTGAGCCACAGAGCCACGGTTTTCTGGTGGTTAATTGGAGAAAAGAGTCTGGCAGACTTTCCTGCCTGACCTGGCTTGGAACAGCGATCCTCAGATCTCAGCCTCCTGAGTAGCTAGGATTTCAGGAGTGAGCCACCAGCTCCTGGCTAGTTTTGCTTGTTTCTTCAGTTATTATTCGTGTTAATTTCTTGAATATTTGCCTTACTGGATTATATTTCTTTTAGGTAACGATTGATGAGTCCCTTTGGTCTGATGATCCTGACTCTTATGTGACACTCACTGTTGTTCGGTCTCCTGGAGGAAAAGGAGCTGTGCGACTCCGCTGGATTGTGGATGAGAAGGCCAAGGACGACCTCCATCCTTTGAATGGGACCCTTGATTTTGATGAGGTACATGTAGCCAGAACCAGGACAACAGAGAGAGAGAGAGAAGGGGAGAGGAAGAGGGGAAAGCAGGGGGGGAGAGAAAGAGACAGAGACAGAGACAGAGAGACAGAGAGAGAGGAAAGAGAGAGAGAGAGAGTGCACCCTACATATTTGAAATGTTTAATAAAATTTCTTTCACATTTCCTCTCTAGATTGAGGGCAAAATCAGTCAGCCAAACGCCAAACCAGACAGCATGTTGTGTTACCTGCTTTCCATTTCACCCCAACTCTCTCCTTCTGTAGTCAGTGCAGATGTGTGATCACCAAGCTTGGGACATTTTACCGTTCAAATATGCTTGCTGCCTCTTCTGATTATTCTGATGCTGTGTCAAAATAGTGATTTTTTTTTATATCACCATAACACAACCTCCTTGACAATCTCAAACTGAGGAAGACAAAGAATTATTAACATTCTTTTTCACTGATGAAATGATTGAGGTAGTACTTTAGCTGCCCCCCAAATGAATTAAAATACAATTTAAGAATGGAAAGGAGAAAACAGTTCATCTTGTGTGTGTCTCCACCTTCCACCATGAGAACAAGGAAGGGTTAGAAGGTCCCCTCCACTTTCAAGGACAACCTTATGAAAGGGTACTTGTAGGAATTCTGTAATTCCATTCTTGCAAAGTAGCACCCATCCTACACATTACATTTTGTGAAGTAGAAACCCAGAACTGAAGTAGAAGTAGGAAGAATTGCTGATGAGGACTGGAACACAGCAGCTGTGTGTGCTGGCATTTAGTGCAGCCCCTTGTGGTCACTGTTGTCCCTGAAATACGCATTAGATATTTATTGAACTCTCCATTACTACCATAGAATACCATGCAACTTTAGGAAATACTTAAAAATTTCACCCACTTTTTGGTTTCCAAAATGCAAAATAACAGTAACTGCTTAGCCTAAGCCAAAGCTCATGCAGATTAAATAGTGTTTGCAAAAAACCCACACAACATCCTGACACTTCCAAAGTGCTCTTTAAAAAAGCTGGCATTTACAAAAATTCAAATGAAAGAACAAGTTGCCACCTCAACTTTCTTCAGTGAAACTCAACCCCCTCTAAATTGCTTTAAGAGAAAAGCACTTTCCTGAAATAACACCCAATGGTACTCCTTGAATTGTTGCTTTATACTACTGTTGTGCAGAATAATAACAAATGATCAGAAATTTAAGTGAAAAAATTGTATTCATAAATTTGGAAAGTCTTGATTGAATGAAATGAGATTTTTTTGTGAATTAGTTTTTAGAGGCTTTGCAACTAAGTACATTTGAGTTTCTAGTACAAGAGAGTTTCAGAGTATATTCCACTGTGAAATTTCTCTGTCGCCTTCTTTAAAATTTATTTTTGTATTATCTTTTAGTAGTTGTGCAAAGGAGCTGCCATGTAACACAGCAGCTTATGAATATAATTTATCTTGATTAATGTCACCCTTCATCATTCTCACCAGCCCTCTCCTGCTCACCCTTTCCTTCACTCTTCCTAATTTTATAATATAGACATTGGATTCTTTTTTTTTTTTTTTTGGGTCCGGTTGTGGGGCCTGAACTCTGGGCCTGGGTGCTGTTCCTCAGCAATTCAGCTCAAGGCAAGCGCTCTACCACTTGAGCCACAGTGCCACTTCTGGCTTTTTTCTTTTTGCTTATGTGGTGCTGAGGAATTGTACCCAGGGCCTCATGCAAGCAAGGCAAGTGCTCTACCACTGAGCCACCTTCCCAGCCCCAACATTGGATTCTTGATAGCATTCTCCACTTCTTCTCTTCTTCACTCCACTCCTGTCCCCTGGATCCCACCCCACCCCTTTTGAATGCCCACTACTTGGTGTTTTATTTTACTGAACTTTGACTTTGCCTTCCTAAGAAATTACATTATTTGAGTTCTTCCTTGAATCTACTGTATTTCAGTTAATTCATCTGTATCTACACAAATTGTGTATATATATGTATATACTACACAAGGTATGTATATACTAACAAGGTATTTACTTATAAGTTTATAAGCTAAATCTAGCTTCCACATATAAGGGAAAATATGTATTTTTTGTCTTTCTGGCTCTGACTTCTTAACATTATTTTTTCCCACGTCTTTCATCTTTTAAATCCCAGAACATTCATTTATCGCTGTCTTTTGTGACAATGTGCCAAAACTATCGGCTGAAAATCTATTTGCACACACACTTTTCTCCTGTGACAAAAACGTGAGGTCCAAAAGGGACCTTTATGTTATTGTTAATAGGAATGTACATGGTCCAGCAATGATGGGAATCAATAGAGCTGATTCTCAACAAACTGGAAATAGAACTACCTTATGATTCAGCTGTAACTCCTGGTTATATACCTGAAAAAATTTCAGTCACCATCAGACAATAGTCCAGTTATAGAATCAGACTAATTACTCAATAACCAGTGAGTGGATTAAGAAAATATAATATAAGCCGGGCGCCACTGGCTCATGCCTGTAATCCTAGCTACTCAGGAGGCTGAGATCCGAGGATCAGGGTTCAAAGCCAGCCCAGGCAGGAAAGTCCATGAGACTCTTATCTCCAATAAACCACTCAGAAAAGTAGAAATGGCATTGTGGCTCAAGTGGTAGAGTGCTAGCGTTGAGCTGAAGAGCTGAAGGACAGCATTCAGGCCCAGAGTTCAAGCCCCATGACTGACAAAAAAAAAAGAAAGAAAAAGAAAAAGAAATATGATATAGATACACAATGAAATATAATTCAACCCTAAAGAATGATAAAATTTTGTAGTTGTGAGAAAAAAAAATGAATGTACTTACAGATCATGATGTTAAGTGAAACAAGTCCAGGATGAGAAAGACAAACATCTGATGATTTTTTTTTCTATGCAGAATGTAAAGTTAAAAAAACATGGAAGTTGAAAGAGGCCTAAAGTGTCTGAATTTATGAGTTGTGTTAAATCTTTCTTTCCATTTTTCCCATGAAGAACCTAAACTGGGATAAGTTCTTATGACCCACATCTGTAATCCTAACTACTCAGAAGCTGAGCTTTAAGGATTGAGATTCAATGCCAGTCTGGGGAGAAAAGGCCCATCAGACTCTTGCCACCAATTAAGGACCAAAAAGCCAGTGCAGCTGTGGTTCAAGTGGTAGAGCACTAGCCTTCAGGCATAGCACCCAGGCTGTCAGTTCAAGCCCCAAGACCAGGACAAAATGAAAAGCAAAGAAACCTGAAGTAGAATTTATGGTCACGGCTCATTTTTATATAATAATTCTTATGCAAAAGCTGTAATTCTAGAAGGGAGTTCTCAGAAACACTCATGAGCTTCCAGTTGCTCACTTGGGTTAAAGTGGCATTGGGTTAATGTGTCATTACTCTTGCTTATGCAGGCTGAGTCTCAGAAGACCATTGTGTTGCATACCCTTCAAGACGCCTCACTTGAGGAGGACCGGCGTTTCACTATCCAGCTCGTCTCAGTCGATGAGGTAGAAATATCGCCAATAAAAGGTAAGATAAATGCACATTTTTGGAAATTACAAAAAAGGCCCTCAGAAAAAACTAATCAAATAATAGTTACAAAGACAGACAATGTTAGGATTCTTAATTCCTAAATGTTTGCCAAAATCTAGAGATGCCATTTTCTATTATAGGAAAATAATTTTTAAAGTTCTTTCCTTATCATACTCAATGTTCTTTAATTGATGTTGGCATGGCCCTAGGTCAAATACTCCAAACTTTGTTAGTTTCTTTTTAAAAAATAATAAATGTGTTTGTTGCAGCAATGTTTATAAAATGAAATACAAAAGCCTCATTATACCTGGCCCAATAGTAGGAGACTGGATAAATATGACAATACTAGGCAATCATTAAACATGAAGCAGAACATTTCTAATTACATTAAGTTACATTTACCTCTTAAGCACCAATAATGGTTTGTTTTTACATTTTAAAATATCTATCATTATCAATTAGTTTTATAGTAAAACATTATTTCATACTTCATATATTATTATGCTTGATAGACTGCCTACACCTAATAAAAATTAGGTACCTATATATCTTGGTTTTTTTAGAAATAGGCATTTTTCTCATTTTCCTGTGGTCCATATGGTGGCTTGTTTCTTTTTTCTTTTTCTTTTTTTTTTCCTTTTTTTTTCTTTTTTTTTTGCCAGTCATGGGGCTTGAACTCTGGGCTGGTGAGCTACCCCTCAGCTTTTCAGCTCAAGGTGAATACCCTACCGCTTGAGCCACAGTGCCACTTCAGGTTTTCTAATGGTGTATTGGAGATATGAGTCTCACTCACTTTCCTGCCCGGGCAGGCTTTGAACCGTGATGCTCAGAGCACAGCTTCCTGAGTAGCTAGGATTACAGGCATGAATTATTATTATGCATGAAAAACTTTTATGAAAGCTTGGTTGTTGTTTTTTGTTTATTTTGTTTTGTTTTGTTTTCTCAAGGTTTCTGGGGCTTGAATTTAGGGCCTGGCACTCTGACTTGACTTTTTAATCTTATTTATCTATTTATTTTTTACTAATGATTGGTGTTCTACCACTTGAGCCACACCGCCACTTCTGGCTCTTTGCCTCACAAATTTGTCAGGCTGAGCTAGCCTTAAACTGCAGTCTCCTGAGTAGCTGGAATTACATACAGGAACCACTGGTACCTTAGTTAGTCTTTCATGTCCTTTAGTGCATTCAAAACTCTGGGGTTTTTTTCTCCTTTGTTTTTTATTTCTTTAATGTTTTTATTTCTCTTTTTTTATTTCTGTACCTTTTGTCTTGTATGTAAGTTTATCTGTTTGGGGGAGAGTAAAGGGGAGGACAGAAATGGTGGAACAAAGGGTGATCAAATGCAACAGTGATACTCACTAGACACTATGTTGAAAATGAACTAAACAACTTCTGGGGAGCAGGGATCGGGAAGGAAAAACTGGGAGGAAACAACACAAGAGGTGACACTGTTCAAAAAGAAATGTACTCATTACCTGACTTATGTAACTGTAACCCCTCTCTATCACCATTACAATAATGAAAAAAAAATCCTTTGACCTGAGCAAGGTCTGTGATAGAAGAGTTAAGAAAATTCTTAAAATTACAGATCGCATTGTTTTATGTATGTAAGGTGGCAATTTTTCCTACACTTTAAATTTATTTTGTTCTGTTTTAAACAGTACTGGAAATTTGACTCAGATCCTCATACTTGCTAGGAAAGTTTTGTATCATTTGAGCCATGCCTCTAGTCCTTTCGTTTCGTTTGTTTGTTTGTTTTCAGATAGAGTTACACATTATTGCTTAGGTCCCCTGAATTTGAGTGGTTGGGATTATAGGCATGTCCCACCCCTACTGGTCCTCTTTCTGCCTTTCAATCTAGAATCCTTTTCAGCAAGACTGCTAAGAATCATATCATTGTGCCACATTCTTCTGTAAGCCTTCACAGGATTGATGTCACCCAGGCCAACCAGAAGCAAAAATAACTATGTTTTAGGGTTTCATAGAACTCCTTTACCAACATAAAGAAGTGCTTAACATGTGTCCAACTGACATTGTTTTTATTGATCCCTTGCCAAGAATTTGCAAGTATAATAATCTACCTCTTTTGGTCACTCAACCCTAATGTGTACTTCTGGAAAACAACTTCTTCAAAATTCTGCAAGATCACAATATGGATACTCAAATTATTGGATACAGGTTTAATTTCTTTGTTATTAGAAATATGATACTTTTATAAATATCTCTAGCCAAATGGTAGTCAGAATTTTTTTTAAAAAGTATTCAACAGAATTTTTGCTATGGCAACAGAGCCAGCTGACAGAACCGTGCAGCAATGCTGTGAGATGTGCAGTGGTCCCTACACTGGTGACTCCCCTCCCTCTGGCAGAGCTCTTATCATGGAATGGTGTTGAGATGATGGTCTGTCCCAGCCCCTTTCATAAGCATGTCATCCTAAGCCAGTGTGTAATACTTCAGTGTCTCAGCATTCCTTAGCATCCTCTGGACAAGCAAGGGTATCAGTGTCTGCTTCTGATGGTCAGGAGTATTAACTAGTTAGTCTGTGTGCATAGTTATGTATAGTTGTTTGAGAATGGTCTGTGTCATTTTCATCTTAGGTAGTGCATCAATCATCATCCGAAGTGATAAAGGAGCATCAGGAGAAGTTGGCATAGCTCCATCATCTAGGCACATCTTGATTGGAGAACCCTCAGCCAAATATAATGGGACTGCTTACATCAGGTCGGGCCTCATTATTTGTCTTGGCTCATGAGTCCATATGAGCTGTTATTTCAATAATAATCTAGTGCATCACCCTCTGCACACACCTAGTGTCCTCGCATTTTATTGACCATCATGTGCACAATAGAACAAGCTATATGCAGATTAAAAATACAGCCTGATGCATCTTGAAGTGAGATCATGAGGAAGGTTTTGGACTCAGTGGTTTGCATAATTTACACCAAGGAAAGCACAGAGAGCTAAGATATGCGTTCAGTCCCATTCTATCATTAAATATGTGGTTACAGGATTACTTCATATCTATGATTCCCTCCCTCCCTCCCTCCCTTCCTCCTTCCCTCCCTCCCTCCCTCCCTTCATTCCTTCCTTCCTTCCTTCCTTCCTTCCTTCCTTCCTTCCTTCCTTCCTTCCTTCCTTCCTTCCTTCCATAGTGCGGTTTGAACTCAGGGTTTTGTGCTTGCTTTCTACCACTTGAGCCATACCTTCAGCCCTATAGCTCTTATTATGTTTGAGGTAAGGTCTCACTTTTTTTTGGCCAGGGCAGTCTGGATTACAATTCTCATATATATGCTTCCCACCATAGCTGAAGTTACTGGCACATACTACCATGCCTTGTCTGTGGGGGACCTCATGAAATTTTGACTGAGTTACCCAGGAAACACAGTCCTCCCAACCGCAGCCTCCTGAGTAGCTAGGATTACTACCAAGCCTACTCTCTCCCATATTTTTAAGTGAGGAATAGTATAACCATCAGTGAGGTACCTAGATTTGATATGATGTTTTATCTTTTCATTAACATCTAAAGTTAATACTTTATTTGTTGAAAAGTAATACTTATTAATACATGAAGTGTTAATTGTTTTTGAAAGACCTATATTATGTTTTTCTTATTTTATATTGCTTATTAAGTAAAAATAAGTATTTGTGTATTAAGTAAAAATATAGGGACACTGTGTGTGTGTGTGTGTGTGTGTGTGTGTGTGTAGTGTTGGTCCTGGGGCTTGAACTCAGTGTCTATGCCCTGTCCTGACATTTTTGCTCAAAGCTAGCACTCTATTATTTGAACCACAACTCCACTTCCAGCTTTTTGGTAGTTAATTGGAGATAAGGGTTTTATAGACTTTCCTGTCTTAGCTGGCTTTGAACTATGATCCTCAGATATCAGCCTCCTGGGTAGCTAGGATAATATGAGCCACTGGTGCCCAGCAGGAAGCTTTCTTTTTATTTCTTTAAAGCTCAAGTGGTAGAGTGCTAGCCTTGAGCAAAAGAAACTCAGAGACAATAAATAAATAAATAAATCTACTTTCAGTGGTTAGTTTTGGTCAGTATTTTGATCAAGATAAATATATGTCAGAATATACTTTGGATATTACTATCTTGGAATTTTAAGACCTTCTATTGATTTGTAGTTGATTTGCAAGATTGTTTAAAGGCATATTATTCTTGGTTACTTGAAGTGTTGAAAAATAACAGCAAATATTTAGGAAAAGTGGCATTGGTGAAAATGTACTGAATATGCATTTGTATGTTGCTCTAGCCTTGTTCGTGGCCCTGGTTCTCTGGGGGAGGTCACAGTATTCTGGAAAATATTCCCTCCGACTGTCGGAGACTTTCTTGAAACAGCAGGAAAACTGACCCTGCAGGATGGGCAGTCTGTGGCCACTGTAGCAATACAGGTATTGATGCTGCTGGCTGCTGGCAGCCTTTCATCTGTGCATGTCAGTATGTGTGAGTGATGATGAGTGTGGCTGTGTGTAATTCCTTCTGAGTGATTGTGTGGTTGTATGGGTGTGATTGTGTTTGTGATTCTATGTAAGTGACTGTGATTGTGTGTAATTGTGTGTGTGTGTGTGTATGTGTGTGTGTGAGTGTGAGTATGACTACATTTGGAGGTGAGAGGTTAACAGTAGGGAATCTAAATCTACAGCTGTTCTTTAGGGATAGGCACTTTTCCTTATGTTCACTAGATCCCTGTGTTTATGGCTCTTTGTCCTGCCCCAGACTTTGGATGATGACATTCCAGAGGAGAAGCGTTCCTATGAGTTTCGGCTCATGGCAAATGAAGGAGCTGAGCTGAGTGTCACCAGCCATTCTGCCAACATCACCATGGTGGCCAGTGACTCCCCCTATGGCCAGTTTGCATTTGCACAAGAGCAACTCCAAGTGTCAGAGGAAACACAGGAGGTGGGTGGTATGAAAAGATGCTTTAAGTATTCATATCATTTTGGATTAATTTAGTCATTCCTTTAATTTAACTTATGCTTTCATAGATTTGATTTTAATTTCAGCAGAATTATGCTAACGAGAATCATTAGTTACAGGTAACATTGTTCAATCTTCAGAATATGCTCTTCCAATAGGTCAACATCACCGTTGTCCGTTCAGCTGGACACTTTGGCCTGGTGGTGCTCACATACGAGACTGTTAGCAGGACAGCGGAGGCAGGCTTGGATTTCGTGCCCATGTCAGGAGAGCTTGTCTTTGAGGCTAGGGAGGTGGCAAAAAGTCTGCGTGTTGCAATCCTTGATGATGACCAACCTGAAGGCCCGGAGGACTTTTCTCTCACAATTACAAAGGTGGATCTCCAGGGAAGGTAAAAAGGAAAACTAAAAAAAAGAAATGAAGAGCAGGAGGGAGGGAAGGAGGAAGGGAGGATAAAAGCTGCACTGTATACTGTATACAGATACTGTTAAGCCATGAAACAATTCTTAGATTTGTGGCATTACAGCAGGGTATAAAAGGGAAGGGAAAATAAGGACTAAGTTATATATACATACATATATATATATATATATATATATATATATATATATATATATGCAGTTTTCTCATAATTCCATGAAAGTGGGAAGGATATCTTTTGGATGGGTGAATTCATTGAGGGTGGCCAAGGAATTGAGCAGGACATGACCATCTTATAACTGGTTAAGGAAATAGCCTGGGCCTTTTCTAGATCAATCCTTAGCTGGGATGCAGCTTTTGCTTTCCTCTGTGTATTGTTGTAGTGAGACACCATCCCTTTGACCATGAAGGGTGTAGTTTTTCTCTGTGGTGAAGGAGGTCAGTGCTCACCCCATAGCAGTTTTAAGGTGGGGAAAAACAAGACTCAAAGATAATACACCATTAAAAAGCTCCAGTGAAGACCAGAGATCAGTAATGTTTTCATCCCTGGTATAGTGGGAGTACTTGATGGGAAGGGGGAAAAAATGCCCTAAGCATCCTGAAATACCCAATAATGGAGCAGCTCTGTGGTGGAACAGGCCCACAACTGCACAGACAGCAACTACAGGACATGGGAGAGGCTCTGCTTTAGAGTCTTTGCACTAATGAAAGTCTTGAAGGAATTCTTTGTGCATGAAATATTATTTCCTTCCCTCCTCCCTCACTCCTTCCCTCTCTCCTTTTCTTCCTTTCTCCTTTATTTCCTAACATTCTTCCTTCCTTCTTTCTTTCTGTACATCTCATGCTATCCTGGGTCTTGAACTCAGGGCCTGGACTATGACCTTGAGGTGCTTTTGTTCAAGGCTAGAAATCTATCCTTTGAGCCACTCCATTTCTGGCTTTTTTGGTGTTGCAGTTTATTGGAGATAAGAGTCTCACAGACTTTCTTGCCTGGTCTGGTTTTGAACTGCAATCCTCAGATCTCAGACTCTTGAGTAGCTAGAATTATAGCCATGAGCCACTGACACTGGGCCTTATTGTATTTCTTATGTAAACTTTAAAATGTTTTAAGTGGAAATATTTCATCCAATAACTTAAGTTAGAATGTATATCCTCCCAACTGCAAGTAACTATTTTGAGTTCAAATACTTCAAATATTGAATTTCCTGGTAATGAGTCTGTGCAGTGGTATGAATTTCTACTCATAAAATATGTTAAAATGTTAGTTAATGACAGTTACTGTTAGCTATTATATTCAGTAAATGTAATTTGGTAAAAAGCCATGAGATTGTAATTTGTGTTGTTGGTGAAATGGATCATGAAGATTCTTAGCAAGCTTTTATAAATGGGTTCTATTTGGGCTTAATGCTGGAAAATATTTTCTTCCTTTCAAATAATCATTAGATTTCCTTTGATCTGAAAAACTCAGTAGCATGATCCAGTGTATGTCTTTTTATCTACTTACTAGGAAACTTAGTTGTTTGACTAAAACTTCACATACTCAGCTAACCTCCAACCTATCTCAGAATATCATCGTAACTCCTATTGTCACTTAATATTTTACTCCTCAGTTTCCTAATTGTACCTCAAAGATAATCTTATTTAACTCTTTCAACACCTGGTAGGTTGTTGAACTGGAATTGAAGGAAGGAGTACAAGATTGAAGAGGTTTAATGTCCCCTTTTAACTCCATGAATTTAAGCGGCATAAAGAATTGGAAATGAAGCTTGTTCAATGAGAGTGATATCAGTTTTAAAAAGTCTATGCTGAACTATATCATTACATGTATAAGGTACCCTCTAGATTGAAGCACACAGCAATGGTCCCAATTCAGTTCAAGTATCTTCTTGAATCTTGGTCCTAGGGGTGTGGTATCCATTAATTCTTTAGAGTAACTCTGCTAGCCAACAGTGAGACCTCAGGCCTGCTGGTTACTGTCTTGGAGTCTCTCAGTCCTTTGCTCAGCAGGTCTGCAGCACAGATCCATAGAAATTTGTTTTAGGGTAGCTCCTTCCATATTTCCTCCTGTTTTTTAAAAATTATTATTATTATTTTACCTTGTGTGACTTCAGTACTTTTATATTAATTTTGATACCATACTGACATCAGTACTTGTAAAAAGAACAGAAAACATTTCAAAACATCGTTTCCAGACAGAATATCTTAATGTTGAGAGTCTTTAAAAGGTCTTTTATAAGCCTGGTGTCAATGGCTCACACCTATAATCCTAGAGGCTGATCTCTGAGAATCTAGGTTCAAAGCCCAGGCAAGAAAGTTTGTGAGACTGTTATTTCCAATTAGCTACCAATAAGCAGGAAATGTCTCTGTGGCTCAGTGTAACATAGCACTGGCCTTGAACACAAAAATCTCAAAGATAGTGCCCAGATCCTAAGTTCAATCCCCAGGATAGGCACACTCACACACACAAAAACATACAGACACACAGACACATGCATACACACAGCATTACAGTAGTTAATAAAAGCAAGACAAAGTAGCCAAAAGGACCTTTCAATTCATAATAAACAATTATATGTTGGCATTATTTTATTTTGTTGTATTTGAAATTTTTGTTTCCTCTGACTTTGCAAGTGGATATGATTTTACCATTCAAGAAAATGGACTTCAGCTAGATCAACCTCCTGAACTAGGAACCATCTCCACTGTTCAAATCATCATCCTACAAAATGATAATGTGGAGGGCATCATTGAATTTGACCCAAAGTATACTGCCTTTGAAGGTATGTTCAGTTAAAAGCTTACCACCATTTTCTGAATTACCAAGTATTTGATCATGACATTTAATTTGAAGTTTCATGTGTAAATTTGCTTAGTTTGTGTATGTTTGTGTACGCACATGATCATGACTTGAGACATTCCCTGAGCTCTTTTTGCCTTAGGCACTTTTCAGATAAGGTCTAATATTTTTTAAACTGGTTGGTTTCAAACCATAATTACCTTTGTGCCTGCAATTATAAGAGTTAGTCAGGTACTCTATCTCTATTTGTTTTGAACAGACTGGCCTTGAACCATCATCCTACCAACCTCTTCCTTCTGAGGAGTAGGTGGATTACAGGCATGAGCCACTAGCATCTTGCTTATTTATTTAGAAAATATATTTTAAGTCTTCAAACATTTCTGTGTATGACAAAGTTCACATAAGCAGAGCAAGTCACTCTAGAAAAATAACATTTGACTTGAGAATTATTAAACATCTTCCTGGTTTAAATATTTTTCCAAAAATCTTTCTAGTTATGAAATATTTAATTTCCCATGTGATTAGAAATTAGTGCACACTCTCTTTTCAGTGAATAGTTACTTTGAAATGAGTATTCTACTGGATGAAGATACAGGTAGTTTCTTACCCTATGATCTTGCTTTTTCAAGTGTTCTAAGCAGCTTTCCTAACATTAGCAACACTCTCCTTTAGAAGCAGAATACCAAATAAATATGGCTATGTTCCTATCTAGATTGGAAGATATGACTGCTTTTCAAGGAAAATGATTTTATTCAAATGCAGAATATGAATATAGTGTTATGACAAATACATTTTCTTCTGTAATTAGTCAGTTACCTCTATCAACAGTTTTTGGTTCTCTCAACATTTTGAAAATGCATTAAGAAAATACTTTAGTAGTTGATATCTAATGATTGTCTAATGGATGAAGCTTGGAAGGTATTACTGTTTTATGAATTTCAATCTATAGCTAGTAACATTCCTGTTCATAATTTTGCATCAAGAAACATATAAAACTTTGACTTGTACTCTTTGTTGATGCCTGACTGGTTCCCTATGTTTGGGTGAGTTTAGGCAATACATATTTGTAGTTATAATTAAAATTTAATACTATTTAACAGAAGTGTGTAATCTCTATTAAATGAAATCCTAATATACAGAGGTTAGTGTAGGCCAAGAAATACAGGTATTTCAAAGAACTTTTTAATTGAAATCAGTTTTTTATTATGTGTTTTCATATTCACAAGTAGATTTTATTTATCTAATAAGTAGAATTATTTGCATATGTAGACTTTTAAAGAATTTATACAATGTAATAACATTATTGCCATTTCAAACAGAGGTGTGGAAACAATCCACAATGTTTTATTTTCCACATACTCGCAGGGTTTATCATGTCTGTCTGAAGTACCTCAGTCAGCAAGAATCAATTATTGGTGCAGCAAATAAAAGAAGAATATCTATGCTAATGATTCAGTAGGTTGTTTTAATTCCTCCACTAATCACTGTAACTTTTCACATCTGATAAAGCATATTCTTTCTTTTATAAAAAAACATGAAAAATTCACTGACCTATAGAAAAAATGAGCATGGTCATCTTTCAATGCTAGGTTTAGTCTGGCTGAAGGTTATGAAAGCCGATCGCTCTCTCTGGCACTTCAGTGAGTCCTCCATTTCTGTTGCAGTGGAGGAAGATGTGGGGATGGTTGCCATCCCGGTGCGGAGGCTGCGTGGAACTTACGGCCGAGTGACAGCTGACTTCATCTCTCAGAGTGCGTCTGCTCTTCCTGGAGGAGTGGATTACACATTGCATGGCAGCTCTGCTACCTTCCAACATGGGCAGAACTTAAGTTTTATACATGTCTCCATCACTGATGACGATGAGAGGTTGGTAGCACAGGAACCAGTGTGTGTGTCCATAGGAAAAGCAGGGATGTTGTAGTGTTGACAGTAGGTGTATTTCATATCATGTCATTTCATGACAGAGGAAAAAGACTGGGGGTAAACTGAGGAAGGAAGAGAAGTGCTAAGGAACTCCTAGATGTAGATGTCATTTTGTTTCAAAGAGAGGAAATAAGTTATGTTGTTCAAAAATCTAGTCTCAATATGAAAGCATCTTTGGTTCACCCCCTTGGGCTCACTGGTTCACCCCCTTGGGCTCTGAGCTGTGAGTAAGAGGGGTTGTGTGGCAGTTATCCGGGGTTATGTGGTTATGATGTCTATATTAGGCTTTCTGCTCAGCACCTCTCCTTACCAGTTGCTGGGTGACTGTCGTATGAATATGTATGACCAATTTGGAAAATGAGTTGTTATTTGGACTTTAGAAGCATTTTTAATATGTTTAGACTCACAGAACTGCTTCTTGCAATGCAGTGAATTTGAAGAAGCAATTGAAATTCTCCTCACTGGGGCTACTGGTGGAGCGGTCCTCGGGCGCCACCTTGTGAGCAAAATAACCATTGCCGAGAGTGACTCTTCGTTTGGCATTGTTCGGTTTCTCAATCAAAGCAAAATCTCGATTCCTAACTCCAATTCCACGATGATTTTATCCTTGATGCTGGAGAGGACTGCAGGACTCTTGGGAAATATCCAGGTAGACTTCTTCCTGTATTTTAAAGGTTAATCCTTGATAAACTGTTTGATGGTGTATTTCCTTATTCCTCAAATAGATTTATTCACAATGAGTGGTATTTGTTCATTATCTTAAGAGTGAAAAGTGACCTGTGAGGCTGATGAAGTCCATAGAAGGGTACGAGGCACAAGTCTGTGCTTAGGGAATGTTTTAGAGCAAGTCTGAAATTGAGCAAATTATTCTGGTAAAATTAGCCAGTTTAGCAAGTATGGATGGAATGATTTCTGTGTGCCTACCCTTGTTCTAGGGCATGGAGAACTCATTTGTGAACTAGACAGAGCTAGTCTCTGTTCTAACATCGCTCATTTTAGTAAAAAGACTTTAACAGGGAACAAATAAGATGAGTGTGAGTGTGGTAACCATAATCTGCTCCATGATTACTCATAAAACTGGAAGACCTGATTGTGGGTAATGTGCTAGCTGCTGGGGGAATAGCAGGTAAGGGTTAGCAGTTAAACTGTAAGCAGAGTAACTAGAACCATGAAGGCCTGATATGTTTGGGGCAGGAGAGGCCTAAGGGGTGGGTGTATTTGAAGTGATGGGTAATATACAAGCCAGATTTGAGGGCACAGTGGGTGTTTGGACATATGGAACTCTTTCTTTTTTCTGGTCCTGGGACTTGAACTCAGGGCCTGCACACTATCCCTGAGTTCTTTTGCTCAAGACTAGTGCTCTACCACTTGGAACCACAGCTGCACTTCCATTTTTTCTGGTGGTTAATTGGAGATAAGAGTCTCATGGTCTTTCCTGTCCAGGTTGGCTTTGAACCCGCAATCCTCAGATCTCAGCTTCTTGAGTGGCTATGATTACACTCACATCAAGCTCACATGGAACTCTTTTTTTTTTTTTTTTTGTCAGTTGTGGGGCTTGAACTCTGGGCTTGGGCATTGTCCTTGCTCTCTTCAGCTCAAGGCGAGAGCTCTACCACTTGAGCCACAGCACCACTTCCGGTTTTCTAGTTGCTTATTGGAGATAAGAGTCTCACAGACTTTCCTGCCCAGGCTGGCTTTGAACCTCAATCCTCAGATCTCAGCCTCCTGAGTAGCTAGGATTACAGGTATGAGCCACTGGCGCCCAGCACATGGAGCACTTAAGTCAGGTTAAAGACTATGCTGAATGCAAACTGGGTTCTGTTAGGGAGATTAACAGGAGCATACATCTTTAGTAGCTTCCCTGAGCTACTATGAGGTAAAAGGGCTTGCCTGGGAGCAGGTGGAGCAGTGTGGAGACAGGCAGGCACTATGCCCTCTATTAAAACCTGGGTGGCTGAGCCAATAGAGAGCCAGAAGTATAGGGACATTGAGTATAATTTGGAAGAAAATTTCATTTGGCTAAACCTGGAAGCAAAGGAAAATAGTCATCAATTCTAGATCATTGTGAGAAGTCATGCTGAGAAGTCACTGTACTGATTTCTGAGGTTCAAATGCCTGGAGGGGTGAAGGGCAAAAGCAAGAGTTCTTCTTTGGCCAAGTTTGTTTGCCATCCTGTTAGATGTACCAGTGGAGAAGCCAAGCTGACCAGGGATGTGTGGGGCGTGTTGGGAGTGACCAGGGCTATGAGCACAGCTGTGGGACCCAGGAGGCAGGCATGTGAAGGCACAAGAACTCAGTGTGTAGACAGAGATGAGAAGGCTGCTCAGCTGAGCCCTGGCTTCCTGGCGTATTGGAATGACAGGAAGTACAGAAAAAGAATCAGGAAAGCATGTGTCACATGGATATCACATAAGCCAAGAGAGACAGTACACAGGGTTTCAGGAAGAAGGACACCAGGCTGTGGGTCCCGTGCTGTGTTTGAAAGAGCAAGGCACAAGTGAAACAACTAAGTGGCCAGTTTTCTTTCATCGATGACAGGGGAAACATGCATTTTGGACTGTAGAAATCTGACAGTACATTCATTATAAAATGAACGTTTATTTCTTACGACAGGTCATGACATTTTCTGTTCCTCTTTCAGTAGGAAATTGGGCATATTTAGAAAAGACTGTACACTCAGCCGCATTTTTTGCATAGTTTGCATAGTTTTATGGTCTTATGCCAGGGCACTTTGATTGGCAGGAGTTGGGGCATGCCACGGGACAGGACATAAACTTTAAAAATGTCTATATTTCCCTAACACAGTTGCATATTGTTGTTACTGGGGCTTGAACTCAGAGGCTTACATGTGATAGACTCTACTATTTTTGCTTGGCTCATGTTGTTTAACAAATTTTTGGACTGTCTCGGTTTTTGCCTGAGACAGATCTCATACTGTGATCCTTCCACCTATGCCTCCCATACACCTCTTTTATACTTAGGATTACAAGAGTGAATCACCACATCTAGCCTTATTACTCAGATGGGTTTTTTAACCCAGGCTGGCCTCCAAACATTATCCTCTCAATTTCTATATCCTGAGTATCTTCTATTACAGGCATGAGCCACTAATGTGTGTGTGTGTGTGTGTGTGTGTGTGTGTGTGTGTGTGTGTGTCAATGTGCTTGTCTTGTTAGTTTTATCCATAAAATTGATATTCTAAAGAGACAAAGTTCATATTATGATTTCAACAAATACAATTTTTAATAAAAAGGAGATAAAACAGGATTCTTAGATTAATTCTATATGGATGTATGCTTTCAATACTCCATACACTGTAATAATTATTTGCCTAAAATTAATTTCCTATATTAAAGAAACAAAAATAACCCCCCTGCAGGTGAACTGGGAGATAGTAAGACCCGATTCTGAAGAAGGTTTACTGCTCCAGAGCGGTGACTTTGCAGAGCCAGTGAATGGCACCTTTTATTTTGAAGAGGGAGAAGGTGGAGTGAGAACCATAATCCTGACTGTCTATCCTCATGATGAAATTGAAGTTGAAAAGACTTTCACAATTCAACTTACAGTTGTGAAAGGAAAAGCTACATTGGACTCCAGAGCTAAAGATGTTACATTAACAGTAAGTCTGACACTTCTTTCTCATAAGATTTTGGAATTAAAGCGCTATCAGGAAATACATTTATGCTATTTGAAACTCTACACGCATATGTTAACTTAAAAATACTCAAAGCCATGTGAAATCATAACTACTACAGGTCAAACTTTCTCACTTTTTGTGGTAGTTCATTTTATAATCTTGTTTATTTTTTTTAAGTTTGAATAGTGTGATGAATACTTTTTTACAATATTGGAGAAAATTTGAACTTTGGGGCATATCTAGCCTTGGTAGAAAAGGGGCATAATATTTACAATTGTATAATATTAACAATGATAGGGCTTTGTTGCCTCTATTTACCTGCAATCATAGCTCACAAAAGTAACTTGGGGACAATTAACCAATTAAATGTAGAAAACAAGACAAATAAAGCAAAAGTCATGCTTTAACGTGTTTTTTTGGGAGTTCTACCGTTGTAGTTTTCTACTTATTCCTTTTATCTTTGTAAAATAGGAACTCAATTGTTTTGGGCAGTAGTAAGTGCAGTAATGAAGTTATAAAACATCTGAGTAGCTAGGCAGATGATATCCATTTCATGTCTCCGTTCCCTCAGCTTAATTGTGTGTTAACATGTTATCATTTAATCATAGCTGTGCAAATCCTGCTTACTATGCTCTCGGTTAATGGTTTTTAGATACAAAAGTTTGGTGACCCCAATGGAATTGTGCATTTTGCTCCTGTGTCTTTATCTAAGAAGATCTACACAGAGCCACTGGCAGAAGATGGGCCCCTTGTCATCACACTATTTGTCAAAAGAGTCCAAGGCACCTTGGGTGAGATTAAGGTATTATTTTTATTTTTTTTTCTTTTTCTTTTTTCTTTTTGTGTTCCAGCTATGGGACTTGAACTCAGGTGCTGTCCCTGAATTCTTTTGCTCAAAGGTAATACTCTACCACTTGAGTCACAGCTCCATTTCTGGCTTTTTGCTGATAACTGGAAAAAAGAGTCTAATGGAGTTTCCTGTCTGGATGGGGTTCGAACTATGATCCTCAGATTTCAGCATCTTGGTTAGCTAGGATTACAGGAGTGAGCCAAGACACCTGGCTCATGGTTTTTCTATGTAGAGAATCCATTTGCCTAATGAAGGTGGTTGAGAGGAGTATAAAAACTCTCCATTTTCTAATTAGCTATATACATACTTATATATTTTATAAATCTAAGCCACTGAATTTTTAGCGAAAATAATGAGAGCCCACATTTAAGATCATTTAGCTTGGAGGTAAAAGGTTCTGAAATCAATCCCTCATGTATAGCCAGGGATATCTGCATGGCACAAGATAAAAGTGAAAAAAAGAATGAAGGGACAAGACGTGAATTAATGCAGCAGTGGTACTCACCAGACACTATGTGGAAAATGAACTATACCACTTGTGAGTGTGGACAGGAGGGACCAACTGGGAGAGAGCAAGGCAAGGGTGACATTGTCCAAAAAGAAACGTATTTATTGCCTGACTTATGCAACTAACACCTCTGTATATCATTTTTATAATAACAATAAAAATAAAAAGTGAAAAAAGGTCAAAAAGAAAAAGATCACTTAGCTTTCTACCAGCATCAACGTTTGTCATCTAAGTTTTGTTAGAGTTACTTACAAAGCCCTTTCTTACATTGAATCACTAAAGACTAGATAACTGCTTGCTACTACATGAAGTTTTCCCTACCTAAGCTCCTTAGTGACCTTTGTAAATTACTTCTTGAATTCTTCTGGGCTTTATTTTTTGATAGAAAATTTCCTTTTAGCAGGTGTTTTTTGTTTTTGCTTTTTTTTTTTTTGTCGGTTGTGGGGCTTGAACTCTGGCCTGGGCACTGTCCCTCAACTCTTCAGACCAAGGCTAGCATTCTACCACTTAAACCATAGTACCACTTTCAGTTTGGGGGTGGTTAATTGGAGATAAGAGTCTCAGAGACCATTCCTGCCTGGGCTGGCTTTGAACCTAAATCCTCAGATCTCAGCCTCCCGAGTAGCTAGGATTACAGGCGTGAGCCACTGGTACCCAGCTGCAAGTTTTTAAAGGATGTTGAAATTATGCATATATTGGTGGAGATTGAGGATGCTTGTGAAAGTTCCACTGGTATTTTGTTGATGGGTCAAATCATTTCTCAGGAAAAACACGATTTTTTAACCATTTGTTAGAAAAACAGACTTTGAAATTTTCCCCCACAAAAGACCTTTCTTCCTGTACTAAAGATTTACCATGATTTCTTCACCTGAAATTATATGTTCTGGAGAAATGAATGATGAAATCTTCTGTTAACATTTAGGGATTCTATTTTACTAAAAATAGCCAAAAACAAATTAAAATGCCAAACATCAAACTTTCCATGTAGTTTTTATCTTCCAATAATATTTGAATAACTAAAGATGAATGTATTTGTGGAATTAAGAATATTCAAGTTAGTTGTTTCTCTTTGTCCTTTAAGTTGACCAATTACTTTAGAAATAGGTGAAATAATAAGATTATCTTTTAAATAGTCTTGTCCTGTATATTGTATGTGAGAATTTGGTGGGGTTAAAATACTTTCCAAGCTAATGCACACATGGAGAATTGGCTTTGCGCATAGCAAGGCACACAGATCGGTGCAAGTTGCTTACACTTGTAATCCTAGCTACTCAGGAAGCTGAAATCTGAGGATAGTTGTTCAAAGCCAGGCCACACAGAAAAGTCCATCAGGCTCTTACCTCCAACAAACTATTCAGAAAAACTGGAATTGGAGCTGTGGCTCAAATGGTGGAATGTTAGCCTTGGGCAAAAGAAGCTTAGGGACAGCACCGAGGCCCCAAGTTCAAGCCCCAGACTGACTATATATATATATATATATATATATATATATATATATATATATATACACACACACAAATACATACATACATATATATTCACATACATATACATATATAAAGGTGTAAATAAAACTTCCCTTTGTGTATCTTAGAGGCAAAAACATTCTAAAGGGTTGGGGATTCATATATCCTGTTAAATAACTTTCTTGGATTCTTTTCACTTTTATTTTAGATTTACTGGGAATTAAGTAGTGACTTTGACATCACTGGAGACTTCTTATCCACAAATGGGTTTTTCACCATGGCTGATGGAGAGAGTGAAGCAAGCTTTGATGTTTACTTGTTGCCAGACGACACCCCTGAGATCGAGGAAGCCTGTGTGGTCCAGCTTGTTTCTGTGGAGGGAGGAGGGAAACTGGATCAGGAGAAATGTATCACGTGGTTCTCTGTGTCTGCAAATGATGACCCGCATGGTGTATTTGCTCTGCGTCCAAATCATCAATCCATTCTCATTGGGAAGAACTTTATCAGATCCATCCAAATCAATGTAACCAGGCTTGCTGGAACATTCGGAGATGTAGCGGTTATATTTCGAATATCATCCGATGATAAAGAAGAAGTAATCGCCCCTGAAAATATGGAGGGGCAGCTGGTGGTCAGAGATGGTACTAGATACAAAGTGGACACAGTGCCCATCAAGAGTCAGGTTTGTGGTGTTGATCAACTTCTGGGTCACCCATTCTAGTAGTGCTCCTTTGTTTTTCCTTATGATCAGATGCAAGTCTTATTTGGGTATTCAAATGAACCATGAAAAATGCCTAAAGAAATGCCTGGTAACTACTGGATAATCCCTTCACAGAATCTAAGTGAGTAAGTAGATTCCACATCCAGATAGAAATGTAGTTTTGTCCAGATTATATCAAGCACATATTTAGTACTTACGAATTTCAAGGGAGTGCAATGGGATTACTTCCAGTGCTTAAATACAGAGATCCATACCTCCTTCTGTTCTTGAATGTTTGGCTCCTGGAAACTAACTATGATTTTCTGGGATGGTAGGTAGGGGATAGAGCATTAAACTGCTCTGCCAACATGAGGTGGGGGTGGGGTATATACACACAAGTTTCCTGTGGCTCAAGTAGATACCTCAAATACTGTTTCTCAGAACTCCAGAATAGTGAGTCAAGAAATTGTTTTTTCTTAATGTTCTCCCAAATGGTACATACCCTATGATTTTCTCTGTTAGAAGAGAAGCTAATATATTTCAGTGTTTATGACATTATTTCTGAGGATTAATTTATCTTATCATTGAGAAAGATTACCCGGAAGTATCAAATTGAAGCCACCTTAGAAAAAAATCTGCAAGGTACATTGCTAATCTGGAGGGATGGCGAAGTGTGGAGATTTGAAGCCTTTTAGAAACACCCAGATCGTTTCCACAGAAAGCTAAGCATTGTTGCTGTTCTCAGAGAGGTATGGTGTCAGTGTTGGTAGCTAAGAAAGCACTAGCGCCCCAAAGCAAGGCACCTTTCATTTTGCCTCAGGTGCTTTTTCCTTCCCCAAAGATTGGTGATAATGTTCAGGGGTGATTGAAGGAGAACTGTGGACTCAATAGAATGAGTGCTTCTTGCTATAGACCTTCAGCTATAGACCGAGCAAGCACTAACATAAACAGAGATAATTTATGTACAGTTGTTTTTTTAGATCTAGTCACAATATTGTCAAAAAGTAATGGGACAGAACCCTCCTAAAATACTAATAGAGGTTAAGTGCTGATGGCTCACACCTGTAAACTTAGCTAGTCTCAGGAAGCTGAGATATGGAGGCTCATGATTCAAAATCAGCCCAACTAGAATAGTCCATAAAACTCTATCACTGATTGCCAGCAAAATGCCAGACTAGAGTTATGGCTCAAGTGGCAGAACACCAGCTATGAACAAGAAACACATCAAGAGCATGAAACCCTAAGTTTAATCTTCAGTCCCAGCACTAAAAATAAGTAGTTCTCTAAGACTTTTTAAATCTAAGATTCAATACATTTATGGTAAAACAAATCAAGAGTAGACAGCATGCCTATCATGTAGGAAATTCTACTTACTAAGCAATATTCTGGTTTTTTGTTCACCTAAGTCTTTATTTGATATTTAATAGGGATGTCCTTATCTCAGATTTATTCCTATACTCCTATGGTTCTCTGGGAAACTGACTCAATACCATCACCCTGGTTTAGTAGTCTCTAAACTCTATATCTATGTCTTAATATTATCAAGACTGTAGCAAAGGGCACAGAATAAAGAAGCATTAAGGCAGCCATAGTATCATTGTATTAAGTCCTCATGTACAAATTAGAAGATCTGGGCTACCTGAAAGACCTTATCTCAACAGAGCCAAACAAAACCAAAATACAGTGTGCTTACATTATATAATTTCACATATATTCCCATGCATTCATAGCAGCGTGTTCTGAACATATTCAAATCATAATCTGCTGGGGAACGCTGTGTGTCATACCTTTAAGTATTCAAGGAGTAGATGTGTTTCCTTTTATATCAAGGTTGGGTTTGGCAATCAGTTTCCTCACAGAGAAGTCTGGATTGCAATCTATTGTTTTTTGGAAAGATGCATGCAGAACAAAATTTCTTTCAGGTCATGGGAAGGAAAAATGAAATACGTATGTTATAGGAACTACCTTGCTTGCTCTGCCTCAGGCTTCTATTTGTGTTTGGGGATATTTTGTAGGATAGGAGGTTGCTTTTTCTTTCATATGGAAAGTTTCACCGTTTAATTTGAAAAGTACTTGGCATTCCTAAAACTATATGTATTAGCTATGCATTTACATTGAAGGCTTTGGAATGTCTATTTAATTGCTTTTATGATTTCTATTTTCAACAGAAAGTAATAAGTTTATTAGGACAAAACTTCCCCCAACATTTTTTCTTCACAAATTTTAATATGCATCTGTTTCTTTTCTTACACATTGCAAGATGTGGAAAACCAAGGCCTAGCTAGAGTACTAGGTATTGCTAAGTTAGTATTCCAAGATAACTGTTTGGGACAAAGTGTGACATACTTATAAACCAAAATTAGGATTTTTTTCCCCTGAGGTACCCACTCTGGCTATATAACACTGCTTTTTGAAGATAAACATATTAGTCATGAGTTTACATTATAGTTCTCCTTTCTCTATTTTCATGGGTGAAGCTTAGGAGTTAGGACAGGTCAGTCGCCAAGAACACCCAAAGCCATGCATGTACATAATCCCTGTGCTGTGGCCTCTAACCTTCTGGAGGATCGTTGAAGCAAGGGAAGGATCTGTCAAGCTCTACAATATAAAAGACTCCTGAAGTAGGTTTTGCACTAGGCTCTTGACTTGGATTGTAAACTGTTGCCACACTTGGCTGAGTCTTGGATTCTTGTATGAGGTGCACACTGGCAGTAAAAAGTGAAAGGGACAAGTCAAGGCTTAGAAGGATATAAATCAGAATACAGGAGGATGTGTGCATTTGTGACTGGGACATTTGTTGAGCATTTACACTGTGCTGTCCTTGTGAGACGTTCAGTAGGAACAGAGAGGGACAAGTCACAATTCCTGTTGTTACGTGCTTTTGGTGTTAGAGGAGAAGGTCCATTGGCCTCCAATTATAAAAGTATGTGGGTAAGCAGTGCCAGAAGTGCTTAGAGTACTGTGGGATGTGCATAGAGTATTAAGGGACCATAGATTCTTGATGGGAAATACATAAAATGAGTTATGTTAGGTAAATGAATAATGAGTCCAGGAGCAATGTTGGGTCATAGAACTAGAAAAAGAATGTGAAGTATTACTGGAAACTTTCAAGTTCTTTGAATATCCGTAGAATGCCTCTTCTGTAGGCCAACTGGCTATTCCTCCAATCTGTAGTGACTCACGTTCAACTTTAATGTTCATTACCTTGTGGATCTGTCCCATCACACAAGTCTGTGTGTGCTTATTTGTCCCATGAGTGGAGGTGCCACATGGGAAAAGAGAAGCTATGGAGTGCTTTGAATAGATAACTGATCCTTCATTCTTCTGCAGCACTAGCTGCTCAGCCAGTGACTTGCTGGGGTAGGGATGAGGAATATAGGAGGGTTGAGATGCCCATGCCTGAAGTGACAGTTCTGTTTATGACTTGTTCCCTTAGCATTTGACTTGAAATTCATTTTTAATAAATGCTATTTTGCAAGAATGAAATACCTATTTTCTCATGTTACATATCATTTGTACAAGTTATGTGCATTGGTGGACGGAATAGACATGGAAATCCATTAAGTTTTAGAAGAAGATATTTGATAGAATGAGTTGCCTTTGCTTTCAATAGAGATACAGACATGGTAGGACTATTTCAGGTTTGAGGATAACTTTGGGGATAATCAGATAATCATTACTGATAGCAATGTTTCTATGGGAAAATAATACGTTGCAAAAATGCTTTTTGTTTCATACACGAATGTTATTTCAGGAGTTTTTTCCCCCCTACTTTGTTTGATTCTAAAGTTTTCCTCAGTGATTTTTTGTTTACCCCAAGTGTTCAAATAATTAGGACAACTAAGTCACTATCCATATTGAGTAACTGATACTGGTTACCAGTTGTTGCTTCATGTAGAGAAAAGGAAGTGGGCTTTGTGGGGTTATGGGAGGCGACATTTCACCAGTGTGCTCTTTCTGTTCCTGTGACACTTAAGCCCTCCTGGCTGTGCGCGCATGATTCCTGTCATTCTTGAGGCCATTTTGGCAGAAATAGTGCACCTTTGTGTACACGTTTGTGTGCACATTTGTCATACTCCCTAATTCCTGCTCCTCACCTCATGCTACAAACTAGTAGATTGTTTTAAGACCAGGGTAAAAGACTGATGAAGCCGCTTGCTTGTTGAGGCACCTCAGGGAGTGTGCTAGCAGTTCAGGGCACATGCCTTCATTTTCCTGTGAAAATTATTACTACTAAATGCAACCTTTGATACTGTTTCTTTATAGATCTTCCTCTCACTGGGCTCTAATTTCACCTTGCATCTGGAAGCGGTGATGCTGGTGAGTGGACGTGTCTATGGCATGCCAACAATTCTCCAGGAAGCAAAGTCAGCTGGCCTTCCCATCCCAGAGGAAGCTGCCAACTCCCAGGTAATTGGCATGGGGTGTGTTACTCTCATCAATCCCCCAGAGGGCAGTTTATATGAAAAGTATTAAATTGTTGGAGAACAAATTTCTTAAGATTAACCGCGTTCTTAAATTTTGGTACGCCTGTGAATATCAAAGTAGGCATAATAGACACACTATATAAAAATAATTTGTTTCAACATTAGTTGGAAAATACATTTTCTTTTTAGAGTCATACAAGATTTCAGTCTTGGAAACTGCTAGATACAGGATTTTTTTTAAAGTGATAATCACCTAAACTCATAATTTTCAGATCTCGATAAGAAATACTTAATTCTGAGGTATCCATGCTAGGCCATTTTTTAATTATTATTTTTTTTATTGTGAAAATACCATACAGAGGGGTTACAATTAAATGGCAAGATAATGAGTACATTTTTGGGGGGGTCCAGTCATGGGGCCTGAATTCTGGGCCTGGGCGCTGTCCCTCAGCTCTTCAGCTCAAGGCTAGCGCTCTACCACTAGAGCCACTGCACCACTTCCGGCTTTTTTTCTTTTTGCTTATGTGGTGCTGAGGAATAGAATCCAGGGCCTCATGCATGCAAGGCAAGCGCTCTACCACTGAGCCACCTTCCCAGCCCAATGAGTACATTTCTTATCAAGCATTGTTGCTTCCTCCTTTGTTTCCCTTTCCTATCCCTTCCCATATCCCACCCCCTCCACCCATATCTCCATCCCCCTACCCCCCCCTTCCCCACCCCAAAGTAAAGTTCATTTTTCGACCATCTCATTGTTGCAATGGGTCTACCTGCATCCTAATTTAAAGTAAAAATGAAACATAAGGAGCATTTCAGACATTTTCATTTATTAACTACACTTTTATTGTAAACATCTAAGCTTTGATTTATTGCAGCAAGTCTGTGCTATCATAGATAAATGTCAGTGGTGACTCAGAGTTTTTGAGACTTCTGAGTTCATTGCAGGAAGGATAGAAAGTAAAGAATAAGCTATTGGGTTTTGACTTCCTTACAGCCCATTCTGTACATATAAGAAAAGGGCAGGGATACTGCTGTGACAGACATAACATGTTTGAAGCTCCTGTGAGATATGATTCCCTCATGGTAGCTCAAATGGCCATGGTGAATTGACCCAAGATGCTGACAAGGATTCTGTGTAGGAATGGTGGCAGATATCCTTCAGGACAATCAGTGTTGCTTTTCAGCTGCTTCTTGCTGGGCATCTTCTCCCCAGGAAGTAAGTTGGCTTTGTGTCCTAAAGTAGAATCTACCAGCATTAAACAGAACCTTTCAGTATTTCTTCTTGTTCTTTGAAATGGTATTGTCTTACTTAGTGGAAAGGAGAATCCTTTATTGCAAATGATTCAGGTGAAGCAGTGAAGTATTTCCTGCTCTAATCCATGTGTATCATATCAACACTGTGCCATTCCACAGGGCAGGGTCAGAGCCAATCAGGTTTGTGATGCAGTCTCTGTGCTACACCATAGTATTTGTATAGTGTGTGTGTGCATGTGTATGTGCATGTGTATGTGCTTGCATGTTTCTGTGAAGGGCTCACCTAGGGCTTTTTGATATCTGCTTTGCAGAAGCTTCGCTAATTGATTCTAGACTGCTATCAAATTAGAGTTCTCATTGTTGTTTTTCCTTTTGTAAGATATCTTGGGGCACCCTTCCATACTTTTCTGCACTATGTCATTGCAATTTTGAAAGAGAAGATAAATCTTAAAGTGCTGATAAAATTTTACCTTAAAATATTATTTGAAAATTTCGTTTTCATTTAATCATAATCTCTTTAGATATTGTTAGATATCGTTTTTCTTAGGTATTGTTCATTGTTCATTTTAGCAAGAGAATGCTATAGTGCCTAGTCTAAAATAGAAAAGTTGAATAAATTCTTAAATTTCAGATGTCATCTGTAAGCATTTCTCTTTAATTGAACATCATAAAACAAGAAAAGTCAATGTTCAACCCATTCTTCAGAACCAAAAAATTTAATTCAGAAGCAAAATACTCTAAGCATTTTTTTCCTCAGGTTGGATTTGAATTCACTGCTTTTCCACTCATGGACATTGCTACTGGCACAAGCCAAGTGACAGTTTCTAGGAGAGGCACATATGGCCCTCTCTCAGTGGCCTGGACTTCTGGATATGCCCCTGGGGTAGAAATCCCTGAACTTGTTGTTGTTGGCAACATGACCCCGGTGCTGGGTGAGTAGTAGTTTTTCAAGATCAGCCAATAGGGCTGATTGGCCATTTTCTTAGCTCATCCATCCTTAATATTTAATAAAAACTTTAAATTCTTTCATATTGAACATAGTTAATCTCATAATTAATAAAAATGCTCCCAAATTTTAAATAGTACTCCAAGACTTACATAATCAGAGTTGTTCAGGCTACTTGGGGAGAAGGGGGAAACATTTGTTTCATTCAAACTTATGTATGTCAAAATAGAGAGCATCATGCAGATTAGTCTACCATTACATTAAAAGTTTGTTGAAAGTAATTTAAAAACATTATTTGCACCATAAAGAAATAAAAATGGCAGACTAAGCTGGATCCTGGTAGCTCACATTTGTAATCCTAATTACACTCAGGAGGATGAGATTTGAGAATCGCAGTTTGAAGCCAGTCCAGGGAAGGAAAGTCTGAGAGACTCTTATCTCCACTAAACTACTCCTCCCACCATTTCCTCCCCCGCCCTGCAAAAAAAAAGAAGAAGAAGAAGAGGAATAAGAAGCCAGAAATGGAGCTGTGGTTAGAGTACTGAGCCCAGGACTAGCATCAAAAAAAGAAAACACAGATCATTTACATAGTCACTTGAATATTTCTGGGGCAGGAGCTATTCAATCAATTTTCTTTTTAAAATGATGCTTTTTTTTTTAGTGAGTGAGATGCAAATCCTAGATGGCTACACAGCTTATGTGGTAGCAGTGGTAAAGCACTCTTCATGGCTTCATGGTGTGACAGCTGCAGTTCCCCTTCCTTATTTACAGGCCCCATGGTTACCATGTAAATGCTATTTCCTGCCAATCCCAAATCTAATGAGTTCTGTGTAAGAAGTGAGAGGTACAGTCTCTCAGTGAGGACGGAGGGATTTTCATTTTCCTCAGGTTTTTAGGAAACTATTGAATGGAAAAACGGAAGTCCCTTAGAACATGAATGTGGAGGCTAGGGTTCATCAAAGTGTCCTTGTTATGACAGCTTCTATCCCAGTTGGAAGTTCAGTACATGTACAGTGGATTTGCATGATGGATTGTAAAACACACCTTTACAAGTCAGGTTCTGCAGCCATTTCACAGAGACCCTGACCTAATACACAATTGACATTGATGACTGTACTTTCTTTTTGGCACATCTCCTAAAGATATTTCATTATCTTTTTTAAGTTTTTAGTCTTTTTTTTCTGCAGTAGCTTATTTGTTATTTCTCTGGCCTGACATTTTGGGTGATATACTTGGTTCTATGCCAGTTTTGATTTTTTTGTATTAGCAACTGATTGTGATATATGTTTATGATTTTTTATGCATGTGTATGTGATTTTATGCTTACATATGGAATTTATTTTCAAAAGTTTTAGTGAATTTTTAATAACTTGATAAAAATAATAACAATTCTCAAACAACTAATTTGTATTCTCAAATAGGATTGATTCATTTTTGACCTATTATAATAAATTTTTAAATCTAAAGAAAATTAAATATAATAAATCTCCATGAACTCTCTGAGAATAACTTGTTGTATTATACATTTTTTCATATGTTTGACCTTGAAGTAATCTAAAGTATAATGTATATATTATGGTATTTTTCCCAAACTATATCAGTATACATCACTAAAAAATGATTTGGCTAGAATTCAGATAAAAGACAAGTATATATTCAGGTGTTGTACAACACCATTTTCTTGCTACTAGATTTGGTAATTGAACCAAGGTGGGGGAGGGGGGTGAAGAAAGGAAGGAAGGAAGAAAGAAAGGAGGAAAGACTAGACAGAGACTGAGGAGATTTCCGTAAATTTCTTCTCCACCTTTGGCCTTATAAACATACTATCTTTTTGGAGTATAAATTTTTGGAAATATATTTTGTTACGTGTTTAAGTCACATTCCAAATTAAGAACCAAAACAATGACACCCTGCCCTTTTACTTTCATTTCCTCTCAGGGAGCCTTTCATTTTCCCATGGTGAACGAAGCAAGGGAGTTGTGCTGAGGACATTTCCCCACCCTGGTCGTCCAGAGGCCTTTGTCCTTCACCTGTCAGGAGTGCAGAGCCGAGTTCCAGGTGGAGCTCAACTTCGGTATGACCAATCTGATTCCAAACCCGACCTTCTCTGAATAATAACCTAGAATGGATCAGTCAAGATAGAAAATGCTACAAGATCACCATCCTTAAAGCAGAATCAGAGTTCAGTGTAGAACAATAGAGAGGCCTACATTAAGGAGAGTTCCTTAGCCTTCCCTGCCTGGCAGAGAACTTATAAGGACTCCAGACTTGAAAAAGAGATTGGGAGTCACAGGTTCAACAATGGAAAATTCACCTGATTTTAAAGGGTACTGTCTTCTAGAAGCAGCTGAAAACACCTGTTTATCCAAGTCATTAAGTATAAAGATAAGAGCTGGGCACTGGTGGCTCATGCCTGTAATCATAGCTACTTAATTCGCTAAGATCTGATGATTATTGTTTGAAGCCAGTCCAAGCAAGAAAATCTGTGAGACTCTTATCTGTATTTAACCACCACCACCAAAAAAAGAAAACAAAAAGAAGCCTGAAGTACAGCTGCAGCCCAAGTGGCAGGATTCTAGCCTTGAGCAGATACAGGAAAAGGATCACATTGGGATAATAGGATAATGTTATTACTTAAAACAAATGGCTTTCTAAATTTAATATAATTTAATTTAAATTTGCTATTTATTTGTAATAACTATTTATGTGAATCCAGTATATTTTCAGTCAAATCTGATTCAATGTAAAGATATTAATTTTTCTTAAACCTAGTACATGCTTGACCAGAGGGCAAGTCTGAGAGCCACGCTTCATAATGTGTGTTCAGATTTGTCTACATATAAATTTATATTTCTAAAATCTTTTTTTTTTTTCTGTTCGTGGGGCCTGAACTCTGGGCCTGGACACTGTCCCTCAGCTTTTCAGCTCAAGGCTAGCTCAAGCTACCACTTGAGCCTCTGTCCCACTTCCGGCTTTTTCTGCTTATATGGTGCTGAGGAATCGAACCCAGGGCCTCATGCATGCAAGGCAAGCACTCTACCACTGAGCCACCTTCTCAGACCCTATATTTCTAAAATCTTTTAACAAAAGAACACATTTCTGTTTTCAAAATTTAATGGTGATCATGACACGTAATCTCTGCCATTCACAACAGAGACCCATAAGAAATAGCTCAGCAAAAAAAAAAAAAAAGAGTCTCAAGAAATAGCTCAGCATAAATTGCTCAATCATGGATGCTTTCTTCACACTCATGCATAGTTTTAGTTAGATTTATGTGAAAAAGTATTTCCATTAACAGTACCAGGAGGAAGCAAGAATTTTGATACCAGTTCTAGAAATATGTCTTTTGGTAAATAAGAGAGCTGGTTTGTGTCTAGAGCACCAGGGAGGATTCAGCCCTCTTGTATTGATATAGGAGAGATCCTAGTGCTTTAGTGTCTCACATAGCTGCTCCAGGGTGAAACTAAAGTGGAGATCCATGAGCTCTTCATTCAACTAATACACACCAGGTTCTGTCTCTGCTACTCCAGTCCTGCTCATTTCTTGCACCCTTGCTTAGCAATATATAAGTGGGTGTTAGGGAGTTCACTTAATTTCTAAGTTGCTTCTTTCATGAGCAGTATCTTAAATATGATGTGAGAAGACAATGCAGTGTTAATCCTATTGTTAAAGCAATTCTCATAATATCATATTTTTCCAGATCAGGCTTCACAACTGTTGAAATTGAACCAATGGGAATCTTCCAGTTTTCCCCTAGTTCAAGGAGCATCACAGTGTCAGAGGACACGCAGATTATCAGATTACATGTGCAGAGACTGTTCGGGTTCCACAGTGATCTTATTAAAGTTTCCTATGAGACAAAGGCTGGAAGTGCCAAGCCACTGGAAGACTTCGAGCCGGTTCAGAAGGGGGAAGTGTTTTTCCAAAAGTTCCAACCTGAGGTTGATTTTGAAATAACCATCATCAATGATCAGATTCCTGAGACTGAAGAAGAGTTTTACGTTAATCTTACTTCAGTAGAAATTACAGGATTACGAAAGTTTGGTGTTAATTGGAGACCACGCCTGAATCTCAATCTCAGTGTTGCAGTGATTACAATATTGGACAATGATGACATCATGGGAACAGATATTTCCGTGCCTACAGCAGCAGCCAATCCTACCACGCTGATTCCTGTAGAAACTGGCTCCATCACATATCCTGGCACAGACAGGGTAACTGCCATTCAACATACCACAGAGATAGTTGTCATTGTTACTGAGGCAATCAATGAATCTATCACCCCTGAGAAAATTGTCACCCTTCCTGGTCCATCAGCCATGCCTGAGAAGCCCGATGCAACTATTGGAATGGAGAATGCATTTGATACTTTCATGCATGGGACTTTTAGCCTAAGCCCCCCTATTGTTTATGTGGATGAGGAGATGAAGAATGGCACATTCAGTGCTGCAGAAGTTCTGATCCAAAGGGCCGGTGGGTTTACTGGCAACGTCAGCATCACGGTTAAAACTTTTGGCAAAAGATGCGCTGGGGAGGATCCCAACATGTTGCCTTTTCAGGATGACTATGGAGTTGCCAACCTAACATGGGCGGTTGAAGAGGAAGACTTTGAAGAACAAGAACTTAGCTTTACATTTCTAGATGGAGAAAGAGAACATAGAGTGTCCATTCCCATTCTGGATGATGATGAGCCCGAGGGGCAGGAATTCTTCTACGTGTTTCTCGCAGACCCTCAAGGGGGAGCGCAGGTTGCAAAGGGAAGGGATGATGCTGGGTTTGCAGCTTTTTCCATGGTTATTATTTCAGGTAATTCTTGCAACAGTGGGGATGAAATAAGTACTTTTGTGGTACAGACTTGCAAAAAGATCAGTCTATCTTGAAGTGAATCTAAGAAGGATGAATTATTTCTGCCCTTCATGGTAATTTATTGAAAAATACCTTTTCCCAAAGCATGAACTTATGACATGAAATTATGCTATTGTTTTCGAGTGCAATTTAACTGGATTCATTAAGCTCATACCCAGTTATACTATTTTTAAGGTTATACTTCTTTTCAAACGTAATCTCTGCCAGTTATGTTGCCCCACAAGTTTACAGCACTTGGAATTAATACCATTTATTCATGTCCCCACAGTTCATTGAGAACATTGTCATTTGAATTCATTTCTGTAAGTGATTTATATAGGCTTCTGTCATCTACATATTTCCACTAAAATTAATTTGGAAGCTGACATTCTATCTTCATTCTGTGATACAGGTATTTGATTGCAGTGATTTAATATGATCAAGACTGAGGGACTCATGATTTTGGAGGTATTATGATAGAGGTAGGAAATGATAGAGCAGAGCAGTTTATGGTGGCCAGAAAGTAGAGAGGCATAAAAGAAGAAGCCAGGACAAGATGTTGTCCCCAAGGACATGCTTCCAACACATCCACCAACTAAAACTGACCTTTTACTTCTCATCATCTCTCACTAATGCTATCCTATTGTGAGTCTGTCAGAGCATTCATACATCCTTTCATTCTTTAAGTTAGAGCCCTCATAATCTAATCATCTCCAAAAACACTATTCAGACACATAAGTGTGATTTCCTCATCTCCTAGGAGCCTCAAATCCAACTGAGTTGCCAAACAAAAATAACCATTACAACTTCTAGACATTCTTGTCTCTTAACATTATCTGATATAATTCAGATAACCACACCCCCCAAGCCCCATTCACATGGTCATATCCTGAGTTCCTTTATTCTTCCTGAAAATATTCCCCTCATCTTTTTCCCATTTGACTCATGTATAATAATATCTCTGCTTTAAGGATTTTTTTACTTTTCTGATTCCTCTTATCTTTAATCTACATCTTTTCAATTTTGAGATTTTAGAAGACACTATCCACATAAATAGAGGAGGAATTAGTTTATTTAGTTTTTATCTTGATCCACATTAGCAGACTCAGATCACTAGACTAGAAATGTGACTTAAATTTATAGCTGCAGATGTGGCAAAGGGAAATATTGTTTTCATTAGACCCATGCTAGTTTCTGTTGTCCTAAAGTAGAGGTTTATAAACTACTTGGGGAGAGCATATTTCCTCCCAAGATAATGAGGAAACAATTGCCAACAAGAAGGAAGAGTCAACTTTGGGTTTCTGAGGCCAGGTAAGAAAGTGATTTCAATGATTATTTAGTTGGTAAGACTAAGAATCAAGAGCAGAAGACAAAGTTCAGTGAGGCAAAAGGAAAAACATAGCATGCCCATTCATGAATACACAGCATCTGCAATACATAAATAGGCTCCATATTTACAGTACATTTTATAGCTAGGAAATAGGCCAGGGGCTGGTAACGTATCTCTCTTCTATTATGACAGATATTTTTGTTTCCCTACACTGACCTACTTAAGAAATTCTATGTTCTTCAAACCTGGAGAATTAGGTTTCTGGGTGATGGATTCAAGCATTATTTGAAGCTGATTGCTTTAGAAACTCTCCTTCTAGGAGCACTTAGCAAAAGCAGGCCTTTGGGAAGCAGGAAACAGCTGAGACTTCATTGCTATTTATCTAGGTCAGAAAGTTCACTGGTGTGCTTGTCAGGACTTGAAATGCCTGTCTCAGTGTAGTCTAGATCTGTTTTGTTCTAGTTTAAACGTACTTCTTAGTGTGATAGTTCCTATAATCTCAAGTGAGTCTATGGCACTGACATGCTTTGGAGTTCCTGAAAAGTTCTGTTTTCTTCTTGGACACCTCATTGGATGTGTAACAAACTATCTTTTGGTTAGTCTACTTATTATGAGGATGAATCAGTTAAGTGGAATTCATTATTCAACAGTGTTTATGAAATGTTCACTCACCTGGGCACTCTTTTGAGTTTTGGAAACATGGAAGTACATAAAACAGATTCTGCTCTAGTAGAACTTGCATCCTTGCAAGTAAACACTGACTTTAAATACACAAACACAGAAAAAAAATCACATGGCATCAATTGTAAAGTAAGGTCTCAGTAGAGGGCAAGGCCTCTGGATGTCAGCGTTAGATGGTAGGGTCCGATGCTTCTTTTGAGTGGTCTTCTATTCTCAAACTGTTTTCTATTTCTATGTTATAATTTTGGAATCCAATTTAGTAAAGATTTCACACACTGTTGCTCCCTCCTCTCACTTGTGGATTTCTCACTTTTATACTCTCTGAGCTGGCAAGATCACTGGAACATTGGCGAACCTGTAAATTCTTAAATCCGTTACCGCCTCCTTTCTTCTTGTAGGGAGTGATCTTCACAATGGCATCCTGGGCTTCAGTGAGGAATCCCAGAGGGGCCTGGAACTAGGGGAAGGAGCTGAAAGAAGACAACATCTTGTTGTCACAAGGCAGCCAAACAGGTGTGTGTGTGGGGGGGGGGGGAAGGAACTGAAAGAAGACAACATCTTGTTGTCACAAGGCAGCCAAACAGGTGTGTGTGTGTGTGTGTGTGTGTGTGTGTGTGTAAAACGCAACATCCTGAGTGTTGGCATAGTATTCAATTGGAATTCATACAAGGCTGAATGAAATGTGAGCCAAAAGAAGTATAGGATTTGATGTGTAGTGCTGAGATGCTGTCATCTTTGATCTGTGATATATTTTGCCCACAGACTCAATGTGGCCTTGTCTCAGATGTGTTGTAAAGCACAACAGTCATGTCAGATTAGATAGGCCATCCATCATCTGATCGTATTCACTATTTTCTGGTGACTTTGTACATATGGCCATTATACTCCATGGGAGACTAGGAGTGACAACACTGTGGATGTAACCTAATTACAGCAAGCAACATATTAGTATGTTCTTTCAAGTGCCTACCTGTATGCACACATACATTTTTAGATGTGGTACATTGCCCATTTGGGGCCTATTTTAGTCATCATTTGCTCTTTTTTTTTTTTTTTTACAAATATAGTCATTTTTAGGAGCAATGTTCTTCTAGAGAAATTCTTCCTAAAAGACAAATGAAAAACATTTCCTTGAAGTCAGGGGTTTTCTACATTTTTTTACGTTTGTGATACTTAATAGGTAGAAAAGTATATTTCTCACGTTCTTAACATAAAATCCTTTGACAAACAGCTATTCATTACTGAAGAGAATATCATCAGAAATAGTAATATAGATCATTAATTTCTTATCTGTCCTGAGGGAAGTTGTTCATTGTTAGAATGATCAGTTACATAGTGAGTGCTGCCTGTAAATAAAGAGGCACAATTTGCCTCCATGGCAGCATTCTTTTATACACAATGTGGGATAGTCTGCCATGTTGTTCTCATGGGTTTGCTTTGTTCACAGGGCGTATGAAGATGTCCAGGTCTTTTGGAGAGTCACATTTAACAAAACAGCCATCATTCTCCAGAAAGAAGAGGCAAACCTAATGGATGAACTTCTGTTTGTGTCAGGAACCACAACCTGTATCATGGGTCAAACACAATGCCTTATCACGCTTGAGCTCAAACAAGAGAAGGTAAGAAATGATGGGGCATCATTCATTCCAGCAAGTTTCAGTTGTGGTTTTTTTTTTGACATAATCATTTTAAGACCAGTGTATTGAAATTTACACATCATTTAGGTAGAAATGACACCTAGATATCTAAATTGCCTTGCTGGACCACAGCAATTCATCATAACATGATGAATTTGTGCAAACAAACCTATTATATTTGTTTTTGCCATGTCTAGGTTGCTGCTGGCCAAGCTGTATGTGGTGTTCATTTTCCTTATGTCATTTTTTAGCCAGATTAGCATCTTTGCTTACTTCTGAATGTAAAATTGTTCCTATCTATCATACCCATCCACACATCATTTAATTAGTATATACATGAAATACTTTTCATTTTCTCTTCATGTATACTGAGAGAGTATAAATTTGGTTACTAGAAGGGGCAGAGAGGTGCTGACCTTTGCAAGCCTTTGGGTAGTTGTCTATGGGTTCACTGAGAGACAGGCTTTCCTTCTCTCTAAGGGAATATGCATTACTCAAATGCTGATGTCAGTGAGAACTTAGAGTTTTCTGAAATATTTAATAATAATGGGTAGCTTTGTTCTTGGTTCTAGTCTGTGATTCTCCAAATATTTTAGTGCCCAAAGAACAGTCAATAGTATTTGACCTTTAACTACTGCTTATTTAGTAAACTCATATATTTAATATAAAAACTAGCCACCAGTTATGCACGTTCAAGAGTACAGTAGGTTTGTTGTTCATGTTGCATACTTTAAACAGCAGACAAAGTACAGACCAATACATTTTCTTCAGGATATTTAATTATGCTAGGGTTTACTTTTAAAAAAAAGCAACATTGTTAGTTTGGCAATTTTTTCTTGTTTTTCTCATGATTGTTATACTTGTCTTTTGAGAACCAGAAAAGTATATAACAATAATAGTTTTAAGTTAGAATTTAATAGTCATATTTTTAAGGCTATACAAATGCCTATTTTCATATCTTTTGGGGATTCTAATAGTTTTACTCATTCCAAAAGAGAGAGAATACTCATCTGTGATCACTGTTCTCACCCGGGCTGTGGGGGCTGTTTCAAACGGAAAGTGCTGGTCAGCTGATTGGTGTTGGTACGCTACTATGTTTTTACATTTATTACTTTCTCGTTAATTTTCTCAATCAAGCTTCTTTCAGAGTTTCATTCTTTAAATTTTTCAATGCCAGTAGTCAGCTCAAGATTGAAGAAGAGTGAACCGCTCTGTTAGTAATATTGAAAATATGTGCCTGACTTGTTCATTGATGGTTTTACCTGGAAGGAAAAACCAGAGGCTTCTCCTAAGGATGAGATAACAAATCTGCACCATTCCTCTACCAATTTAGCTCATTTGCTCTGTCTAGTTGCAAAAGATGCAATCATTGGCTATTTTTCTGCTTCAGTATGTTTCACAATCCACAATGCAATTTTTTGCTTTTCCTAGAAATAATTTCTGTATTCACATTTCTGTTTCTTAACCTCTTCCTATTTGTATGCAAAGAGAGTAATGTTCAGTTTGGGTTAATAGAAGGCCCACAAAGTTGTGGTATGTCAAGTCTCTTCCATACACTGATTAATGAACTAGTGCACCCTACTAGATTTTCATGTTCATAATACAATACTTTTATATTTCAATAACATTTATCCTTTCACTATTGTAGAATTCCATCTTGTATTTTAATTACTTACTAAATGGCTTTCTTTTTGAAACTCTGACAGTCATCTCTTGGCTACTGAATGTCTCAGGAAGTTGATGTTTTGTTCTTTCAATACTGTTTGAAATTCTCTGAGGCATGTCTGCTCTTGAGCACTGCATATTCCAGAGCCATTAAGGAATTTTCCTAATCTAAGCCATACAGTCAACTACCATTTGATTAATTTTTTGATAGAGCTCAAAACCTATATAGTAAAGCTATAAATTACAGTTGACAGCAGGCAAATGTGCTGTTATTACGGCCACTTTAATGATGAGATTTGGTTGTTGCTGGGGTTGTTTGTGTTTTTTTTTTTTTTATATTTGGTGGTACTGTGTTTGAACCATAATTCTTCCAAACTCTGTCTCCCAAGTGGCTGGGATTACAGACATGAGTGACTAGTACCCTGGACCAAAAAAAAAGTATTGAATTTCCAATTTTTACATAGATTACAATTTACTATACTATGTTCTAGTATTTTATGATTTTTAAGTGAGATTTCTATTGGCTCCTAAAGTTTTCTATCACATTGACAGTGAGAAACTGAAATTTCTATATTCAAGATATTTGAATCCATTATGCTTAAATCCTTTGATTCTATTAAACACTTAAATCCTGTGCATTTCTTCTAAATATTTTTATTCCTTCCTAAACAACTATATGCTAATTTTTCCTAAATATAGATCTTCTTTAGTGATTAATTAAAACACCAGTTCCTCATAAGACCAGAATTTAAAAAAAAACATTGTCAGTACCTTTCTTATGGAAGTTATCAGTTATAACCAGTCTTGTTCCAACTATTCACTACCACCTGTTTGAAAGTTAGAATATATTTTTGTTTGTCTTTGTACCCTTCTTACCATGCTCCATGAATATATGCTCCCTGCAGACTGGCCCCAAAAAAATCCATTGTGTAATTCACCAAAATGGCTGATTTGAATCTTAGGCATACCTCAGAACACTTAAAACTTGTGTCCATACAAGGGATGTCAGCTAGAGAAAATCTTTGGAGATAAATGTCTACATTAGCCTTTTGATGATTGGAATCTTATGAGGCCATTTCTTCATGTTCAGAGAAGAAAAATTGTGCAGACAGGAAATGCCTTCTTTGTGACAGCAATCAGTGAAATCAGCTAAAGATCTTAAAAGATAGAGATAAATTGTAATGCCTTCATACAGTTTGAAGGAAGCTGACTTGAAGTGGCAGTGGGGAGAGGCAGTGTTTTGTGTGTGTGTGTGTGTGTGTGTGTGTGTGTGTGTGTGTGTGTGTGTGTGTAGTGGAAGCCATGAAACTGGTCTTGGACAAACTGGACAAGGAAGCTAGGTAAATGAGTGTCATAGGATTAAGAAAGGACTTCTTCAGTCAAGTTTGTCCTTCTCACAGGGAAAGAGAGAATCTCCAGACCCTGCAAATATATGATTAAGCAGTAAGATAAGCCCTTCCTCAACGTTGATATTTCTAATATTCAGAATAGGTAAGAACCCAGTCTGTGAGAATCCAATGGATTTTATAATAATTGCATCAATGTTAGTGATAAGAGGTTAAAATATCAAAATATCTATTTTGAACATGACAATATTATTCACAGACTTATGCCTCTAACTAATGAATAATGGTGAAATCCCCTCACCTCAGCCTAGTCTATTTTTAAATATATATATATATATATATATATTTATGGTAAAGATACTGTACAAAGGGGTTACAGTTATATGAGTAAGGTAATGAGTACATTTCCTATGGAGCATTGTTACTCCCTCCTTTGTTTTTCCCCTACCATCCCTTCCCAAACCTCCCCAACTCCTTCCTCCCCCACACCAAGTTGTAAAATTCATGTTCAACATAGTGTCTTGTGCATTTCATTGTTCCAGTGGATCAATCTGTATCCTTATTTCAGCATTTTGCTATTTCCCTTTCCCTCCCCAAAGTAGAAAAATGTATATACAAGATGCAGGGCACCCGAATCAAATACAGTGAAAATAGGGGTTATACCATGGAGGAAGAACATACAAAAGATAAAACAAACCACACAGTAAATTTTAAATACATTAAAAATAACAGCAACAAAGACAAAACTTCTTCTGTCCCCTTCTTGAGGTTCATTTCTCTCAGCATCATCTTACATGGTCATATGTACATAGCTTTTGACCTTTTCTGCCTGTTCTAGACATATACTAGTTATTGCAAATAAGGGAAACCATGGCACCTATATTTCTTTGGGTCCGCTTACTTCACTTAATATGATTTTTTTCCAAGTCTTTCCATTTTCTAACAAATGGAGTGGTGTCATTCTTTCTGATGAAGGCATAGAATTTGATTGTGTGTGTGTGTGTGTGTGTGTGTGTATGTGTACATATATATAAATATATATCACATTTTCTTGATCCATTGTTCTACTGAGGGACATCTGGGTTGTTTCTGTATCTTAGCTATGGTAAATAATGATGCAATAAATATTGTTGTGCTGGTAGCTTTAGTGTGGTCTTTTTTGTGATCATTTGGGTAAATGCCCAAAAGTGGGATTGCTGGGTCATAGGGGAGCTCTATGTGTAGTTTTTTGAGGAACCTCCATACTGCTTTCCAGAGTAGTTAAACAAGTTTACACTCCCACCAACAATGCAGTAGGGTTCCCTATGGCCACATCCCCTCCAGCATCTCCAGCCTAGTCTCTTGAACTTCAACTTTCAGTACTTTTTACTCTATTTTCTTTCTAATGATCATTTCTGCAGTTATTCTCTACTTTAATTTTCAAATTGTGAAGAATTTAAATCACTTGTCTAGCCAATTACTACAAGAAGGTTAGATCCTATCTTTAGAATTCCAGTACACTTTCTGTTTGCCCACTGATCTATTTTATGGTCCTTTATTAACAAAACAGTTAAGGTGATAATTAAATTAGAGGCAATCTATTAATAAAAACTGTGAAAATAACCAGTAGACATTTGTGCATTTTTTCAAATATTAGCTATCAATTATCAGCTCAGGAAAGATTATTTTACACTAGCTGTGGCAAAAGATCACTCTGGAATAGATCTGGCCTCGCCAGGAAAGGGCCTCTGGGTAGTTACACTTGGAGTGGGATTTTGTGAGACCCCCAGTCATGATTAGAAGTGCTGGTGAAGCTCAGATTCGATCTGTGGGTCTTGGTTTCCCAATAGACTTCAGGAATGACATTTGAAGAGAATATTTCTTTGTCTGACTCAAAGATTCCTTTGTCTCTAGTCTAATTATGTACAGGCACCCATCTGTACACTATTCAATTTTAGATGGTTCTTTACTTAGATCATAGCATATTCTTTGACTGTAAATGGCTGTAAGCACGATTCTCATCATCATCACAATGGAAAAGAATATTTTACAGGAAAATAAAGACAGGAGCCTTTATTGGAATATAATATGCTGAAATCTTCAGTTAAAAGAAACTATTATGAATCAGGCTTACTTAGCCATTAGGGAATAGCAGCTCTTGCTACTGCTTCCATTTCTGGCATTTGCCAAATATAGCTCCTCAAAAGTGGGAAGAGTGAGTGCAGTTGTTTCCGTATTTCCATATTTACTGACAGAAAAATCAGCAAAAGTGAATAGTAATCTGCCACAGGAAAGCCAAACAGATTTCTTCAGGCAGCACAGTATTTCTTGTGTGGTAAGGATATGACTTATTTGGGGAATCCAGAGGGCTTTGTTGTCTCATTTCATGACAGTCATGATCATTGAAAGGATCACAGGTCCTAAATGCTTCCTTGTTTCAAATGACAGTATAAAACACGCAACTGAAACACTTCGGCTTAGCTTTCTTGGTGTAGCCAGGATGCAAGTAGCACTTTGAAGATTCTTCAACTTTCATTGTATAAGAGGAAGCCATCAGTAAAATGAGGTGATTGACATGTGTTAAAAGGCTGAATTCAGGGTCTGGAAAATCAAATATTGAACACTGTGGAGAAATACCAAAGGTGGAATGTGAACATACCACAACCAGTAGAACCAACTTAGATTCATTCCATTCTGAATTTTGTGAATATTAGAGAACAATGTGAAATTATAAAATTGGCTATTATTGATATTTGGTTATACTTATTTAAAACTTCTTAAAAATAACAATGTCATCAATATAAAATCTTGCCACGCTGAAACCCTTTCTCTGTGTTTCCCAGTGTAATAAGAACACACAAAGTCACTCCCTGTCTTGGCTTCTATCTGACATCTCTACTTAGACAACAGTGGACATGTGTGTGCTATTTTCCTTTGTTTTTGACATTTGCATAAATCTCTATTGCCAATTACATATCACCAATATAAATTGTATGTAACTTGTACTTTTATATGTAGGATATCTTTCTATATTCAGCTTTATGAAATTTTACACTTTTGGCTGTAGCCCTGTTTTGCGATCTAACTCTGGTAAAAAATATTGAACAAATAAGTTCTTTTCAGATACTTCATAGTATTCTAGTGTTTCAATGCATTTTGCTTATCCATGTGTTCACTGAATACGCACAGGTTATCTCTGGATGGTAATCCTCCAGTAATAAACTCACCTAAACTATACATTTACATATATATACACGCATATATACATTATATATGTTTTCTTAAGTGCAAAGATTATGGGATATATTTGTAGTACATAGTCACACCTATAATGTTTGTGTGATTTATATTAGTAATAATTGTATACCTTTCTTTTGCTCACTGGCAGATACCCCAAGTTGAAATGGATTTTTTTGTTGAGCTATATGAAGTAACTTCTGGAGCAGCAATAAACAACAGTGCTAGATTTGCTCAGATTAAAGTTTTACAGCATGATGAACCTAGAAGCCTCATGTATTTTTCTGTGGGTTCTCGGCTGGCCGTGGCTCAGAGGAATGCTACTTTGATCAGCTTGCAGGTGTCCAGAGATTCTGGGACACAGTCAATGATGTCTGTGAGCTTTAGTACCCAGGTAAGCATGGAACAAATAGTTGTGCAAGTAAAGGTTTTCTTCTTTAACATACAGTACATGCCTTGAAACAGTATTTGATACACTATTTTCCGAGGATACCATTATAACTCTTTTTTTTTCTTCTGTTGGTTGTGGGGTTTGAACTTGGGGACTAGGTGCCATCCCTGAGCTTTTTTGCTCAAGGCTAGCATTTTACCACATTGATCCAAGTTCCACTTCCAGTTTTCTGATGGTTAAGTGGAGATAAGATTCTTAAAGGCTTTCCTGTCCAGGCTGACTTTGAACTGATGTCCTCAGACCTCAGCCTGTCCTCAGTCTGTCCTCAGACCTCAGTAGCTAGGATTACAGGCATGAACCATCAGCACTTGACCATCATAAGTCTTATCTGTCTGTCTGTCTATCTATCTATCTAATTGATTGTAGATATGGGGCTTGAATTCAGGGCCTAGGCATTATCCTTGAGCTTTTTGTGTTCAAGGCTAGTACTCTACCACTTTGAGATAAAACTCCACTTCCAGTTTTCTGGTGGTTACCTGGAGATAAGAGTCTCACGGACTTTTCTGCCTGGGCTGGCTTTGATCTGTATCCTCATATTTCAGCCTCCTGAGTAGCTAGGATTAAAGGTATGAGCCACCAGAGCCCAGTGTAACTCTAATTTTATTTACTACACTAATTCTTATATTTACAATGTGTCATTTTATTCCTTACCAGTAATAGATTATGTTTAAAATGATAAAAAAAGTTATCTCTTCCTTTGTTTTGACAATTAATCCAGTTACTCATCCAAGCTGACTGCTGGATGTGAATGTTCATTCTCTTTAATTTCTCAGCCAACACTGAATTCATGAAGAAGTCCTAATGATTCTACATTCAAGATGTACCCCCAGACTGAGTTTGTCTACCCTCCCTATTCAAGTGTCCCTCAGACACGTTACCACTGATTCTTGTATGAACCACTGGGAAAAAATGTCTTTTTTTCCTACCTCAGTTGTTCTTCTCTGCTGTAGTCTAATATATATCTAATACCTTTAACTCTCATGAGAATATTGAATGCCTCTTCTTGACTTGACTTTTCTTGTGCTGTCTGTCTTCCAGCCATAATGATAGACCCATTTGGTCTGACCTCTTCCACCTCTCTCACATTCCTCACCAGCATCTCCTTCTCCTGCTCACACTGGCCCTCTTCTCCACCTCCTTTTCCTCGTCTTCCTCCTCTTTCTTATCCTCCTCCTCCTCCTTCTTCTTCATGTGGAAATGTCACTTCAGTGACATTGTGATTTCTGTTCTCCCTTCTGGAATACTTTTCCTGAGACCCTGGTGGATCTTGATCGTTTACTTCATGGAGCTCTCTGTTCAAACACCACATTTGAGCTCCTGTATTTAGCACAGTCTGCAGCTGTGCTCTCACTATCAGTTTGCATTTCCTTAATTTGCTTTATTTTTCTTTATAGAACTCCATTTAACAAAACAACAAATTCCCTAGCATTGTTCTCTCTGGATCCTCTGCTACAACAGTAGCTTTTCAGTGTGCAGGTGTTGTGCTTGCTGTATGACTGTGCCCCTGTATTATGCCACCTGGGGTATCTTAGGAGGAATTTTCTAGTTGTTGGCTCAGTAATAAATGAATGGATACCCTCTCTCATTTTTTGCTGGACTAAGCATCCATGTTGTACTTTCAAAGAGCCTTTGTAATAACTATAATTTGAAAAAAACTCAGAGGCACATACATTTATTTTCTTTTATGTATATATACATATATATACATACATATATATATATATATATATATATATATATATATATATAGTGAAAATACCATACAGAGGGGTTACAATTACATGGGCAAGGTAATGAGTACATTTCTTATCAAGCATTGTTGCCTCCTCCTTTGTTTTCCTATACCATCCCCTGCCACCAGCTTACCCCCTTCCCAGCCCTGTGCCAAAGTTGTAAAGTTCGTTTTTTGACATAACGACTTGTACTTCTCATTGTTGCAATGGGTCCACCTGTATCCCTATTTAAATAATTTGTATTTTCCCTTCCCCTCCCCAATTATTCTCCTTCCTCCTTGTCCTCTGTCTCCTCCCTATTCTCCATATTCCAAGAGAATGCAGATGTCAGTAATCTCCCTTTTGCACCATTGTTTTGTAGCATGTATACTTAGAGCACAAAGTTTAGTGTGTTCATTGTGCTCATTATTGGAGAAATGTTATAAAGCAATCCTAACATTCATTTCCTAGCTGTTATTCTTGATTCATTCATTCTAAGCCATTGATGCTTCTAACCTCAACACTGTGTGGATTGCATGTATTTCTCTGAGTTGTCTAAGTAACTAGAATTGGTTTAAAACTCCATGCTTTTGTGGCAGTGTTATTATGGCCCATCAGTTTTTTTTTAAACAGAAGTAGAACTTTTTTTAAGGCATGAGAACTTATTAGAGTGTTATGAGAGGTATGTCAGTCTCATCTAAATATTCTCATTTACTTTCCAGGAGTTAAGGAGTGCTGAAACCATTGGTCGTACTCTCTTATCTCCAGCTGTTCCTGGGAAAGATTTTGTGAAAACCGAAGGCACACTAGTCTTTGAACCTGGCCAGAGAAATGTCATGTTGGATGTCATCTTAACACCAGACACATCATCTTTAAGTCCATTTCCTAAACGCTTTCAGATTGTGCTCTTTGACCCAAAAGGTGGCGCTAGAATTGATCATGCCTATGGGTTGGCCAATATCACCCTTGTCTCAGATGCAGATTCACAGGCCATGTGGGAGCTAGAGGACCAGCTCCACCAGCCCCTGGATGAAGTCATTCTTAACAGGGTGCTTCACGACATCAGCCTGAACGTGGCCACAGAGAGCACGGATGAACAGCTCAGTGCTGTCTTGCATTTGATAGAAAAGGTAAGAAGTCCTTGCCAGTGTGAGGACTTGATGTAGGAAAGTTGAGGAGTGGAAATGCCAAACCTAATCAAAAGCCACATTCTGTTATGTCAGTTGCTATGGAATCATGGCATGGCTAACTTTTCAAAATAAGAGTAGCATGTATGACATCTGACTCTTGACTTCGTTTGGATGAAACCGCTGCCTGTGTGACAGCCTTCGTTTTAAAAGTTGGGAGTGATGGGTGAGCTCATAGAGTAGGAAGGGCAACGCAAGTCTGAACAGCAGCAGACACAGGAGACACATGTTCTCTGTGACTTGCCTGAAACTGGCTAGTGATTATCTTTTGCATTTGATCTTCAGGTTATTAAGTTATTATTATTATTATTATTTGGTCAGTCGTGGGGCTTGAACCCTGGGCCTGGGTGCTGTCCCTCAGCTCTTCAGCTTAAGGTGAGTTCTCTACAACTTGAACCACTACACCATTTCTGGCTTTCTGGTGGTTTATTGGAGATTAGAGTCTCATGGACTTTCCTGCCTAGGCTGGTTTTGAACTGCAATCCTCAGATCTCAGCTTCCTGATTAGCTAGGATTACAGGCATGAGCTACTAGCCCCTGGCTTACATTATTTCTTAATTTTTTTTATCACCTCAATATTCTTTGCAGTAGAAATGGTATGTTATAGGAACCATTACCTTCTGTTTGCCTTCTGCTTTCCTGGATACTAAAAGCATTCACAGGAAAAGAGGGTTTTAGGCTGGGCACTAGTGGCTCACGCCTGTAATCCTAGGTACTCAAGAGGCTGAGATCTGAGGATCGCAGTTCAAAGCAAGCCCAGGCAGGAAACTCCATGAGACTCTTATCTCCAATAAACCACTAGAAAACTGGAAGTGGCACTGTGGCTCAAGTGGTAGAGTGCTCACCTTGAGCTGAAGAGCTGAGGGACAGCAGCCAGACCCAGAGTTCAGGCCCCATGACTGGCAAAAAAAAGAAAGAGAAAAAGAAAAAAAGATGTTTCTTGTTAAGAAATTTCTTATCAACATTATTTACAAACAAGTATAAGAAGTGTTAGTAGACACGTATGTATTTAAGTATTCAAAATATTATCAATGGGTTTTGAAATGTCATGCTTATTTTACTATATGGTATCCCTAAATAGATAATGCTTGAAGAATAGAAAAAGAAATTATAGGTAAGGAGAAGAGGCCATGTAAAACTGCTTGTACAGCAAAGAGAAATACTGCTATTTCATGTAAAGAATTACCTAGATATAGTAGCTTCTATCAGGAAGTATTATTCTTAATTTCCTAATGACAGAGTGGCATGGAACAAAGGCAACTTGATTTTGGCCAAGAAGAGCCTAGTAACTACATGTTAAAGTAGAAAAGAGAACTTTGGGCTAGTTGGTCACACCTAGAATCCCAGCAATTCAAGGAGCAGAGAGCAAAAGGATTGTAGGCTGAGGCCAGCCTCAACAAAAAGAAGTGTGACTCCACCTTGATCCATATGGCTGGATGTGATGATATGTGGATGCCATTGCAGCAATTTGAGACACAATAGGAAGATTGTGGTATAGCCTGGGAACACAGGCAACAGAAAGTAAAAGTTTACTCAAAAATAATGAAATAAAAAAGGCTAGAGCTGTATGACTCAAATGAACAGTAGCCTAGCAATCACAAATGTCCCAAATTTGCAAATTTGAATCATGGTATTGAAAGTGTGTGTGTGTGTGTGTGTGAGAGAGAGAGAGAGAGAGAGAGAGAGAGAGAGAGAGAGAGAGAGAGAGAGAGAGAGAAATGGGGAAGGAAAGAGGAAGAGGAAGGACAGGAAGAGAGAAGGGAGTGTTTTAGAGAGTTAAAAAGAAATTTGGGCACTTTTTCACAGTATATATATATATATATATATATATATATATATATATATATATATTACTTTTTCCATATATGATTATTTTCTCAGTATATATTATTGGTTAGGAGAGTGTTTTAATGGTACATCTTATTATGATACATTTTGATTTCTATGCTGTACTGAACAGAAATGCCCTATTTCCTTGAAGTTTGAGTAAATGTTTGGTCACGTATAGTTCTTGGGTCACACACAACTGATAGTGTTAGCGCTTGATGGACACTAACAGGCATTGTGTTCAAGAACAACAGTATGGTATGGAACATTTGTTCAAATACATGTGTGGCAAGAATATTTCTTTTGGCATCACTTCTTAAAAAAGAAAGTTGGAAAATTAAGAGTTGTTAGGAAGGGCGGGGGTAAGTGAATTCTAGTCTATTCAGGAAATTGAATCATGGACTTCATGACATTTGAGCAACCAATGAATTTCTATACAATAGGGTCCCATAACAATGCAATGGAGTTGAACATTTCTATTGCCTAGTAGTTTTGTTGAGATACACAAATAATGAGATGCATATAATGAGACACACAAAGACTCTGTGTTACCGTTGTCTAAAGTGCTCAGTGCAGGAACAAGTTGTGCAGGTTTGTAGCAGCCATCAGCTGTACATAGCCTTAGTGTATCAAGGCTATATTAGTGAGTTTGTAAAAGTACACATTAACGATATGATGATGTAATTGCCTAACAACACACCTTTCAGAATGTGTTTCCATTATAAATGATGCAAGATAATACTACTTTACCCTCAGACTGAAAAAGAAGAGCACTTAAGATCTAGATGGTCAAATATAGATAAGGTTGCAAAATTTAGCCAATAAAAATAGAAGATAGCTATAGATTAGGAATTTCTAGACAGAACTTTGGCTGTGTAAAATTTACATTTTCCTAGGCCAGGCATGATATGGCCAAACTTATTATGAAAGTTGTCAGATGCCTTAATAACAATCTCTGTCCTTAAAACTCTGCTGCATTTAATATTCTAATTTTCAGTTTGGTCAGGTTTAGTTTCATGGTTATTGAAGCTTGGTAGACATGAGTCAGAAGGCCTCATTTTGTGTTCTGGAACACATGAAGGGTGAGAGATATGACATCTGTGAAAGTTGATAGGCCATCCTTACTTCCTAAGGCCTCCTCTTTTTCATTTCTTCCCTGTGGTTGAGTCAGGTCCTCTCTTTGTTTATGAGGCAATTTGGATAATTTTGTGATTTTTTTTTAGTTGGTATAAGGTGGCCTTTTCAAGCCAGAATCTCTATACTTTTTAATATTTTATCTTTTATAGCCAATTTTATCTTTTATAACAACCACTAAGGTTGTTGTTATTTTGTTGTATTGAAATTTGAAATCAGAGATGTTTACTTGCCAGTTCCATTGTTTACTCTGAATCATGCTCTTCACTTTTTTGCTTATAGTTAGTGTTTTGGATAGTGTTTTATGATATCTTTGCCTGTGATGGTCTCAAACTGTGGTTATCTGCCTCCTTTTTCTGAATAGATGGGATTACAAGTATGAGCCACTGCATTCACTGTGTGTTACTGTTTTTTAACAAGGGAGTTGGAGATGTTGCAAGTTAGTACAGGGAGCTAGGAACACCTCCTTGGCCTGGCCAGTCACAGATGGTTCCACAGGAAAAATTGCTTATGCTCTTTCTGCCTCCATTTCCTTATCTGGAAACAAAGCAGAAATAACAATAATCTTCTCGTGAAGATTAGAGAGTTTTAGCATAAAGCTCTGGGAACTACCAAGTACTCATGCTAAAGATGTGTTATAGAAATGCTTTTTTCTGTATGGTATTTTCACAATTAAAAAAATGTTTTTTTTGTTTTATGTTTGTTTGCCATATTGCCATTTTCCCCTATTTTTCTTGAGTATAAGTAAAAGTTTGAGTATCTCCAGAATACTTTGGTATAATCTTTAATTTTTAAATTCCTGCACATGTTGCACACACACACACATACATAAATATACACATATACATGGCAACAAATAAACCTCAATTTATATTGCTGTCAAATATTTCCTTTTTTCCCACAAGAATTTTTTTATGTGAAAATACCAGAGAGAGGGGTTACAATTACATGGGCAAGATAATGAGTCCATTTTTTTATCAAGCATTGTTGCCTCCTCCTTTGTTTCCCCTTACCATCTCTTCCCATCTACTCCCACCCTTCCCTCTTCCCCCACCCCCATGCCGAAGTTGTAAAGTTCATTTTCGACATAATGTCTTGTACATCTCATTGTTGCAATGGGTCCACCTGTATCCCTATTTAAATAATTTGTTTTTTCCCTTCCCCTCCACAAATTATACCAACATCAAATACAGTGAAAGCAAGGGTTATACCATGGGGGAGGGACATACAAAGCAAGAAAGAAATCATCTTATAAATATGTCAGAAACAATAACCAGAAAGAAAAAAAACATTTGAATCATTATCTTGGGGTTCATTTCACTTAACATCATTTTATCTGACCATTGCTGCTTGTCTCAGACATATACTAGTTATTGCAAGTAAGGGAAACCATGGGACCTATGTTTCTTTGGGACTGGCTTACTTCATTTAATATAATTTTTTCCCAAGTCTTTCCACTTCCTAACAAATGGGGCAATCTCATTCTTTCTGATGGAGGTATAGAATTCCATTGTGTAGATATACCACATTTTCTTGATCCATTCATCTACTGAGGGGCATCTGGGTTGGTTCTATATCTTAGCTATGGTAAATAATGCCGCAATAAACATAATTATGCTGATCGCTTTAGTATGGTCTTGTTTGTGATCATTTGGGTAAATGTCCAAAAGTGGGATTGCTGGGTCATAGGGGAGCTTTTAAGGAACCTCCATACTACTTTCCAAAGTGGTTAAACAAGTTAACACTCCCACCAACAATGCAGTAGGGTTCCTTTCTGTCTATATCCGCTCCAGTATCTGTTGTTATTAGAGTTCTTGATTATAGCCATTCTAACTGGGGTGAAGTGGTATCTCAATGTTGTTTTGATTTGCATTTCTTTTATGACTATGGAGGTTGCGCATTTCTTCTTGTGTCTATTGGCCATCCTTCTTTCCTCTTCAGAGAAGTTTCGCTTTAAGTCTTTAGTCCACTTATTTATCAGG